TCTTTGATATTCATCAGTAAATGTTTTAGGTCCTCTTCACTTTCAGCAAGCAAGGTTTTATCATCTGCATGATAAAACAAGCTTTATCATCACAAGCTGTTAACGAGTCTTCCTCCAATCCTGATGCCACACTTTTCTTCATATAACCCAGCTTCTCAGATTATTTGCTCCGCATACAGGTTGAATAAGTATGGTGAAAGAAAACAACCTTGTCGCACACCTTGCTAAATTTTAAACCTTTCAGTGTTCCCGTGTTCTGTTCGAACAACTGCCTCTTGGTCCATCTACAGATTCTTCATGAGCACAATTAAGTGTTCAGGAATACTCATAATTTGCAATGTTGTCCATAGCTTGTCATGATCCATACAATCCAAAACCTATGCACAGTCAATAAAGCACAGGTAAACTTCTTTCTGATAGTCTCTGCTTTCAGCCAAGATTCATCGGACATCAGCAATGATATCCCTTGTTCCATGTCCTCTTCTGAATCCAGCTTAAACCTCTGGAAGTTCACTGTCAATGTATGCTTGCAGCCATTTTTGTATTACTTTTAGTAAAACTTAACTCACATGGGATATCAACGAGATTGTCTTATGATTTCTGCATTCTGTTGGGTCACCTCTCTTTGAAATGGGCACAGATACAGAGCTCTTCCAATCAGTCGGCCAGATAGTTGTCTTCCAAATTTCTTGGCATAGCTTATATCATATACTATATTAGTATATAAGGAGCTCTGGTAGCGTAGTGGTTACAAATCAGTCTGCTAACCTCAGGGTCAGCAGTTTGAAACTACCAACTGTTCTGTGGGAGGAAGATGAAGCTTTCTGCTCCTGTAAGGATTTACAGCCTTGGAAACCCTGTACAGGGTCGCTATGAGTTGAAACTGACTCCATGGCACATAACAACAACAGCAGTATTAGTATTTATTGTTATTATTGTTGTGCTGTCAGTTCTGACTCATAGTGATCCTGAACAGGGTTTCCAAGGAACAGCTGGTGTGTTTGAAGCACAGACCTTTCAGTTAGAAGTCCAGTGCTACACCAGGACTCCTTAGGATGCATTAAAAAAAGAGAGGGGGCCCAATCAAAACTGTGGTGATCTGCTGGGCTAGTAAAATTCAAGACCAGGAGGTCAGCTCAGAAGGCTATGGTGACTGTTTTGGGGGGTTTCAAATGAGTCATCTTGATAGCTGACTTGAAGGGTATAGACCAATCACAGGGGTTTAGTATGAAGAAGCTCTAGGAAAACTGAAAACTGCACTAGTGAGAAAAAGGCCAGGAAAATTGCACCGAGGAATTTTTTGCTCCCATCATAACAATGCACCTTCTCGTTCTTTGAGGGTAGCAAAGGTTGTCCCACACGAATTTCACTCAGAAACCTTATCCCATTCACCCTACAGCCCTGATCTTGTCCCTTCAGACTTCTTCTGTTCCCCAAACTCAAACAACATTTATTTTATTACTTTTTATGAGTTTGACCATTTATTGGTATTTTCAGTAGACATTAATCTCAGACATTTCTCTCTCCCATCTTGACCTTGGCTTCTTCTGGGTCAAGAAAATACTACACAGGAGAGGGATAGTTATTATCTTAACATAAATAGGAAAAAGAATAAAATTAGAAAGTTTGCCTACATTCAAGTAAGTTGAAGTTAAATTCATGTATCTTGATGTCATTAGCTAATTGTTCTATATGCATTTCCAATGTTTTGCTTGGGGCTTATTCTAAACTTAAATGCAAGTAAACAAAGTATTAGGAATATACAATAGTCAGGATGCTTCTCTGGAGTTATTACCTATTATCTTCGCTTCTGGAGGCATTTCCTCGAGTTCACCATCTTCATTTTCATTAAAAGCTGCTGCTTCTGAAAGGGTTTTTGGAGCAAGAGTTGGAAATGTTTCTTTAGACTTACTTGACCCAAGTTTGATGGACATGGCTGATGTTCTCTTTGTTGTCCAACCACCTATGGCAAATCCAAACTTGGGAGATCTTTGCAGGCTTTGTTGGGACGTCTTTAGCTTCTTCTTCAACTGATGGTTTCTCGGCACGGCGACTGGAACTTTGTCCTCCATTACTGGAAGAAATAGTCTTAGTTTTCACAGGTTTTTCTGCTGCTTCTTCAGGTCCTCTGGCAGCTCCAGTTCATTGTGGATTCTCCGGCTTTTCCTCTCCCACCTTCCCCCTCAAAGAACATTTAAAAGGAACATGGTTTGAATCTCTCAAGGATGCCCAAGCTGCCATTTTGACATGGCATAAATCAAAGAGCCCAGAATTCTTTTGGGAAGGTTGAAAGACATGGAATTCCACCTTCAGAAGTATAGAGACCTAGATAGAGGAAATGGTGAGGTAGCTTCACATTTTTATATTTTTGTTTAATAAAGTTTTCTATGATTTGTATAGCAATACTTTTTTTTTTTAAATTTAGTCGAAGATGTAGGGTTTAGGATAAGCACTGGACTGCTAACTGCAAGGTTGGTGACTCAAACCCATCAGTCACTCCTCAGAAACCCTATACAGGGTTGCTATGAGCCAAAACCAACTCAACAGCACTTAACAACAATATATATAAACACACATAGACACCTAAACTCGAACACAGCACTGGCTGTGTGTCAAACACTGAGCCAAACATTACAGCTATCCTCAAACTCCTTCAACCTCCACCATCTTATGAGACAGGGATCACTTATCCTAATTTACAGATGAGGAAATGGGGGCAAAGAATCATGGCCAGTGGGGAGCATGGTATAAAATCAGTTAGGTTTCAGAGTCCATGACTGTAAGCATTTGGCTTTGCTCCTACAGGTGACCCAAGATCCTCTCAGAACCAAGGAGAAGAAGTTCCCATCAAGCTTGCTTCAGTTACAGCCTTGATGAATGGGTTCAAAGTCCATGGAGAAAAGTTCCCACCAATTCCTCTGGCCTTATGGTGGGGTTTGTACAATGTACAGAAGAATGTGGGGGGTAAATTCTGCTGACTCTGGAAAGAATTACACTTGACTAAAGTGTTGCAGTTGGTTATGTGTTGGGCTGCTAACTGCAAAGTTGGCAGTTTGAATCTACCAGCTTCTTCATGGATGAAAAATGAAGCTCCCATAAAGATTTACAGCCTTGGAAACCCTACATAGGGTTGCTATGAATCGAAATTGACTGGATGACAATGGGCTAAAATGCAATTGAAGTTTCAGTCAGTTGGGGCCTACTGGAACCATCACAATGGCCCCAAGTCCAGTTCAGACTCTTATTGGTTGGCAATGGCGGTATTGGAAAAACAACATTGCGAAACATCATCTGACTGGTGAATTTGAGAAGAAGTATGTCGTCACCTTGGACATTGAGGTCCATCCCCTTGTGTTCCATACGAACAGAGGACAGATTAAATTCAATGTGTGGGACATGGCTGGTCAGGAGAAATTTGGGGGACTGAGACATGGCTATTATATCAAGCCCAGTATGCCATTATAATGTTTGATATAACCTCAAGAGTTACCTACAAGAACGTGCCTAACTGGCATAGGGATCTGGTTTGAGTATGTAAAAACATCCCCACTGTGTTGTGTGGCAACAAAATGGACATTAAGGACAGGAAACTTAAGGCAAAAATGTTCATATTCCACTGAAAGAAGATTCTTCAGTATTATGACATTTCTGCAAAAAGTAACTACAACTTTAAAAAGTCCTTCCTTTGACTTGCTAGAAAACTAATTGGAGATCTTAACTTGGAGTTTGTTGCCAGGTCTGCTCTTGCCTCACCAGAAGTTATCATGGACTCAGTTTGGGCAGCACAATATGAGCATGATATGGAGGTTGTGCAGACAATTGCTCTCCTGGACGAGGATGACAACAACCCATGAGAGAATGAAGCTGGATCTCAGCAGCAAAGTCTAGTCTTCTAGTCCACTGTCGTGTGATGCCAGTGGTGTAGCGTGTTTGCCACTTTATTATACAGCTAAGCTAAGGAGTCCTGGTGTGGCACTGTGGGCTAATGCATCAGACTGCAGAGTCGTTTGAACTGCAAGGTCTGTGGTTCAAGCTCACCAGCTGCTCCTTGGAAACCCTATATAGGGTCATTATGGGTCAGAATCAACTCGATGGCACTTAACAACAACAACAAGCAGAACATGTGCTAATCTTTGGGATGCTGAAGGAGACGAGTGGACTTGGAGTGAATGTGGCAGTTAAAAATACCTTCATTTTTTTGGACCTGCATATCTAGCTGTTGGAACGTAGTTGTTTCCTTCTTGAGTTCCAAATATAAGACTGTTAGAGTCCTGGTGTGGTGCTGTGGGCTAATGCATTAGACTACAAAGTCATTTGAACTGCAAGCTCGGTGGTTCAAGCTCACCAGCTGTTCCTTGGAAACTCTATACAGGGTCGCTATATTGGAATAGACTCACCAGCACTTAACAACAACAACAACAAAGAGCCACACTGTTCAGTGGTGAGATCTTACTTATTACCGGATGGAGCAGGGGCACTCTGTCTGACAGCATCTTGATGAGATGGCATTAACCCCACAGCAGTGGTGGGTAAAATGCAAGCATGATGTCATTTTATTTTCACATTCAGAGTTTTCTTCATTTTCAAGAAACATTGCATTTAAAAGGTGCTGCATTAGAACATGTTCCTTTACCACATTGACAAATCCACAGTTCATTCATGGCATACTGCAACACAGTATTAATTTTATAGGCTAGCAAAACACTACATGGAAAACTGTTATATACCCATTGAAAAGACTTTACCCATGGCCATAATGTTTGTAATAAATGATTCTGATCATATCTGAATGAATCTTCCTCCTGTCACTTCCATGATCAAACCTAACAATGACCTGTGGCACCTTTTATCCCATCACTCAGGATAGATGAGGTGAAGCCACAGGCTTTGGAGAACACAGAAAGGACCCTGGGCTGGACAAATAATCTCCGGGTCGTACATGCAAAAAGTGATGCCAGCTTATCTGGGTTTCCAGTTGTGAGTCCTTTGCAATCTCAGCATCATGCACTGTTTTCAAAACTGGGATTCTTTGGATATATGTCACTCGGGGAGAAGTTCAGAATATCATTCAAGGAAGGGCCTTCATCCTCGGGGGCAATCTCAGACTCGAACATCTGCTGCAGCAAGGCATCCACAGTCCTGTACTCTAGGAGGAAGGACAAGAGAATGTGAAACCAATGTGCTTAAGGTGGACAGGGGCATCCAGCCAAGAAGACTTGGACTTTCATGAAGGAGGACCAACGAGCATGGTCATCCATCATGAAGAAGGAAGGACAGAGTCACTCCTTTCCTTAGGGTGTAAAGGAACCCTTGGCCTGTACTGAGGGAGCTTGCTGGCCAGTGAAAGCTCTGGAGATCATGAAGATCCTTCATGAAGAGTCTGGAGGAAGGAGGGTGACTTTTTAGGGCTGCAAGCTCGTATCCCTCCGCCTGGAAGCTATCGGCTACTTCTCCTTCTAAGTTTATTGTAGAAATTTCAGCTGGAGCCAGATTGAAATCCAGACTGGTTTGGGTTTAATCAGCCAACTTTCAACTCATTGAAAATTAATTAAGTAATTAATCACATAATTGTTAAGGTACATATCTTAGGTTAGCAACTGTGTTTATATACTATGTCTCAATACATAGTTGTTGTTAAGTGCTGTCAAGTCAATTCTGACCCATAGCAACCCTATGTAGGGTTTCCAAGGAGCAGCTGGTGAGCTTGAACCGCCAACCTTGCAGTTCAATCGACTCTTTGCAGTCTGATACATTAGCCCACAGTGCCACACCAGGACTCCCAAGTACATTGGTAGGCACAAAAAAAAGACATGCCCCTGAATGCATGAAGCTTCGAGTTGGCAAGGAGGACAGATTGCCACATGACTATAATTCTGCAAGTGACTTCAGTTGAACGCAGAGAAAAGAGGGCTGGGCACAGTGGGAGGCTGAGAAGGACTTCTGGGGAGGGTGGGGGTGTGTGTGCTCAAGCAGAGTCCTGAAGGAAAGGGGACTGCATTACCCAACAGGGAGGTGAGGGAGCCAAGTGGAGGCACAGTATCTGCAGAGGTCTTGGGCCAATGGAGCCAGGAGCCCAAGGAGCTGAAAGGTCAGCATGCCATGGTGGTAGGGAGGCAGAGATATCGAGAGATACCAGTTGGCAGACCATTAAGGCCATGGTGCGGGGCTAGTCTGTATTCTCAAGCACTAGTTTAGATTTGCATTCTCACCATCTCCCTAGCTACTCACACTTCACTGGCTGTGTGGGGAGAATGGTTTAGAGGAATATCCGTTCCAATTTTGCATTAGGTTTTGTATTGGATTAAAACTTACTTTTTGAGGCAATTTTGAAGTACGACCCTTTCAAGGCCTTCTTTTTTCTGTCTCCATTATCCCCATCAAAGCCACTGTCCTCAGTGTCCATGTTGTCAATGAGTCCCCCAGCTTGCACTTCTTCCCTTCAAGGACAACAGACAATATGCATGCAGTTAGGACACTCCACAGAACCCCTCACATGGCCTCCCAGGCTGATTGAGTGGTCACTGTCCAGTCATACAAAGTGCACACATCCGGTCAGCAAAGGTCCCTGACAACAGGCACACAGGGTCAGGTTGGGTGGCCTGGGCACTTACAGATTAAACATGGTCAGCATCTTTAGTATGCATTAATTATACTTGTGAGAGACATCATGGGGGAATAGTTACTCACTCTTTGATTCCCACTCCAAGCTCTTGAATCTTCTTCTCAATTGCGTTTTCTACTTCACTTTTCTCTAGTGAATATGCCACAAAAAATGCCTCCAGGATGAAAGCTATAAAGATGCTAAGAAAGAGCAAACAGTGGAGGGAGTTACATAGAGACAGCTGGTGGTCTAGGTGACGTGTGATCCTGACCCGACAAACATGCCAGCCCAAATAACAAGTCAGTCTATTGTTGCAATGAAAATAACTAAGACGGGAGAAATAACAAACAAACTGCTTATTGGAAAATTGTTGTTCTTTTATATCTTATTTGCACAGTGAGTATTCAGGAGTATTAAGATGTTTAAGGGGAGATTGAGGCCAAATAATTGTTGGGGGATAGTTCCCCAAGATTATCTTATATTTCCACACAGTCTGAGTCCTATGGGCAAAGGCATTACAGTTAATTTAGGGATGTTGGTATAAGAAGATATTCCAGGATAGTAAGGCTTAGAGATATCTCCCTTCTAGGGTGGCAAAGATACAGACTGTTCCTTCTGGTCCCCAGAGAAGATATGCTTACATTCCAGAGTAAAATAAGGTCTCTCTCTTTTGCTCTGGAGGTAAGGGTGGACAGGCCACCAGCAGTCCAGTAGGTCAGAGTTCCATGACATGGCCAGTAAGGGGACTCAGTCTGGCACTCACCACATTGCCCTGTGGAGACTGGGGTTCAGGAAATTGACACAAAAGCTGCTATCTCTTCCATGAGTAACAAACTGCTTGTCTCTGACCTAGAGGTCTGGTGTTCTCTGTCACTATTATATATATATATATATATATATATATCATTGTTGTTAAATGCTACCAAGTCAGTTCTGATTCATAGGGACCCTGCTCAAGGCTTTAAATCTTCATGGGAGCAGAATGCTTCATCTTTCTTCAAAAGATCAGCTGGCAGGCTCAAACCATGGACCCTGTGGTTTGCAGTCTAATGCTTATGCTTATTATATGGAACTACTGTACTCATATATTCATTTATATATTGTTGTTGTTATGTTGTTAAGTGCTGTCAAGTCAGTTCCGACTCATAATGACCCTGTATAGGGTTTCCAAGGAACAGCTAATGGGTTTGAAAGAATTTAGGATCAGCGCCACACCAGGAGTATAGGTGCCGTGGAGTCGATTCCGTCTCATGGTGACCCTGTATAGGGTTTCTGAGGCTGTAAATCTTTATGGGAGTAGAAAGCCTCATCATTCTCCTGCAGAACAAGTCAAGTCAGTTCCGACTCATAATGACCCTGTATAGGGTTTCCAAGGAACAGCTAATGGGTTTGAAAGAATTTAGGATCAGCGCCACACCAGGAGTATAGGTGCCGTGGAGTCGATTCCGTCTCATAGTGACCCTGTACAGGGTTTCTGAGGCTGTAAATCTTTATGGGAGTAGAAAGCCTCATCATTCTCCTGCAGAACAGCTGGTAGTTTCGAACTGCTGACCTTACAGTTTGCAGCCCAACTCGTAACCACTACACTACCAGAGCTCCTATATAGTTGTTGTTAAGTGCTATGGCGCTGGTTCCGACTCACAACAACCCTGTGACTTTTAAATCATATATATATATGATTTAAAGTTAGGTCACATGAAGAGAAGCCAGGGAACTAGAATCAAAGGGTTTTCAGTGGAAGGAGAGACTTTTTGAGGGGTGAGGTATCATAGCAGTTTTCAAATATTTACTGAATTCTCCCCTTTGTTTCATAAGAGCAGAGCAGAACTAGAACCGATGAAGAGAATGTACCAGGAAATTTATTTTCATTGTGCCTGACAAACAACATGGAAATGGACTCTCTTTGGTTCTAATGCAACCCAATAGTTGGATACATTTATACAGAGCACAAATGGAAATTCAGTAGAGAAGTGGCTTGGAGGGGATTTAATTCCGGAGAGGGGTGGTTTGGAGGGGACTTAATTCTGTAGAGGGGTGGTTTGGAGGGGATTTAACTTCATAGAGTGGTGGCTTGGAGGGGACTTAATCTTTGGAGGGGAAGGGTAGGGAGACTGGTCCGCACCTCAAGTTCCTTTCCACTCAAACAACATGTGAGCCTATGCTATACACTAGATGCTGTTGTGCAAGATACTGGTAGACACGATGAGAAGCAAACATGAACAAAAGCATGATCCCTCCCCTCTGGGGCACAGCATCTAGTAGGGGAAATGAGACAAGCCTACAACCTACACATGGGTGGAATAAGAGACATACTAGGAGGGAAACGTAAGCAATTGTAAACTCTGAAAATGGGGATTTGAAATTTCCAACACAGCTGGAGTCAACTCACTTAACGATGAGGATGACGACCACAATGTGGAACACAATGAAGTACAGCTTTGCCGCCTCATGAGTGACCAGGGCAAAGCCATCTGCAATGAGTAAAAAGTTAAGACCCAAGCCTTGAAAACATGGCATGCCCATGAGCTCAGATACCATCATTTCATTCTCCTTCTAGAAGAAACTTTCAATATTTCCCTGATCCCACCCCAGGAGCAGACATCCCTTCTGTGGATCAAACTGCCTTCTCAGAAAGGATATTGTGCCACTGGTTAACCACAGTGAGTTCCATCAGCACGATGAATGAAGAGGCGAGGTCATTGAAGTTGTTCTTGCAGTATCTGTCTCGGGCAAAGGCCGTGTCTTTTAAGGCTGGATTCCCACACACCAGAGCATCAGAAGTGGTGAAATTTGGGTCAAAGAACTGGACTTTGCCATGAAATACTTCCATCCCAATGATAGCAAATGTATAGTAGACCACCTAGGATGACATTCAGTTGTCAATGGCTACACACAGAATTAAGGGGCAAGGAACAAGCAGAAGAACCAAGAACACACTGCACCTGAGGACACTGATCTGTGGAATGGGCCACTACTTGTATTCTCTCAAACAGAGAGCCAGCAGAGGTGACTTTCTCCAACCAGGAGTTCAAAGAAGTTTTGAGAAGAGGGTGTGAATTACCTAAAATGGGTGGGTGGGTAGGTGGGGCTGTAAAAGTACAAAGTGGCTATCTTACAAGTTTTTGAGAGGGAGTTTGGTTTCAGAGTGTGGGGGGGGAGATAGACTCCCCACTGAATAGTTTTCATCTTCTCTAGACGGGTCTGGTGAAAGGAGATGGGGATACGATTCTTTTGATTCAATAGTGAGTAATTGTCAGCATGATTAATCGCAATTGTCACAACTGTAAAGGTAGAGTAGTTAATCTTACAGTCCAGGAACAGAGGACTCTAGGGCCATGAAGAGAGAGGAGGATGGACAGAACGAGGGATCCTACTATCTAGAGAAGCAGAGACACCAGAGACAGAAGCAGAGAAGATAATATGGAGAGACAGAGCAGCTGAAGACTCTAGACTTATGAAAAGAGAAAGGCTGTGTGCTGGTGGCCAGAAGGCTTGGCTTATAGAATGCACCCTTTGGTTGTTTAAATGATTATATATTCCTGAGTGGTTTTGTGTACATTAACAACAATAATAAATGCATGGAGGGGATTGTAATCATTGCAATGAAACTAAATATGATAGGATGAGTGCAAAACTGATGTTCTCCCATGTAAACCATCACTCAATTCCCAATAAAAGCTTTTTTTTTTTTTTTTTTTTTTTAATAAAAAAAGAAGAGAGTCTGAAGGAGTGGGTCCCTTAGCCAGTCTGCCAGAGAAACCTGAGCTGTATGAAGAAAGACAGAAGGCCCGACCATCTGGACTATACACTAACTCACCATGGACTGCATTCACAGAGTCGAAAACAATAGCCACTAGCAAGTCAATGGGTTAAAAATGCAAAAACAACAACAACAACAACAACAAAAAGAAATAAGAAAACCAGTACTCTAGAAAATAAAGGTGGATCTTTTATACAGCCAAACAAAACACAATGAGCTTAACTTGATCTATACTCATGGAGGTAGTAGCTCTAAGCACCAACAAAGAGGGAAGGAGTCTTCACATCAAGTATCAATGCTATCCCCTCTGTGCACAAGGTAGATAGGGATGGGCAACCTAGATATTGGCTACCTAAAATGAGGGGATGATAAAGGCACAAAGTGACTGGCTTGCAAGGTTTCTAGAGGAAGATTAGTTTAAGAGTGTGTGGGGGAAGATAGAGTCCCCACTGAATAATTTTTATCTTGTCTAGACAGGTCTCACAAAAAGAGATGGGGATAAGATTCTTACGATTCAATAGTGAGTAACTGTTATCATGACTAATTGAGACTGTCACAATTGTAAAGATAGAAATTTTGTAATGAAAACAGGGGAGTAGTTAGTCTTACAGTCCAGAAACAGAGGAGACAAGGACCATCAAGGGAGAAGAGCACAAAGAGAAAGCAACACCTTTTCCAGAGAAGCAGCAACGGCAGAGATGGAGACATGGAGAGAGCAGCTGAGGACTCTAGATTCATGGAAAGACAGACTTGCAAAATGTGCTCTTAGGTGGTGTAAATTATTATATATGCCTGAGTGCTTAAAAAAAAGGGGGGGGGGGTGGTCAAGAGACAAATACTGTTAACTGATGGTACATGGAGGGGATTATAATCATTGTAATGAAACAAGGTGTATGATTTGTTAAATGTAAAACTGATGATCTTCCCTGTAAACTTTCACTCAGTTCACAATACAAACACTTTTTAAGAAATGATTGAGAATATGAATTTGTTAAGTTTTACATAAATGGCGAGCATTATTATACAAATAGTGTATGCAATTTAACACAGTATCATGTAAAAGGAAATAATATAAAACTATTTTACATTTGAGAAACAACAACAAAAAAAACCACAATAAGCTTTTATGTCAGAAAACAAAGAACAGACTAAGAAAAATAACTGCTGTTTATACAGCTTGTTGTTGGTGTTAGCAACCTGTGTTGTTGCTAAGTGCCGTCTAGTCAGTTCTGACCCATAGCGACCCTGTATAGGGGGGTTGAAATGTCAGCTTCAACTTGTGGTTCCCAGTTCAGTGCTTTTCCTACAGCAACGTTAGGTATTCAGCATAATAGAACCAAACATCACCTGGTCCTCCTCCATCCTATGATAAAATTTAACCAAAGGACTAGTTTCCTTACACAGGCAAAAAAATTAGATATCATACCAAAATAAATAAATAAATAAAACAGAAGACTGGACCAAGGAATATGAATAGACTATACTCATATGCCAAAAAAATACAAAAACCTAAACATAAATGGCCAAAAGAACTTAGAAAGATGCTCTGTCTCACTAATAGCATGTCAAGACAACACAGTGTCATTTCCTACCTACCAAATTTGGGGTGGTGGTAGAAATGTTACTAAGACCCAGCTGTGTGGGGCTACAGATAGCATCACACACTGTTGATGGAATCTATAAGGGAGCACATCTTTTAGAAGGCAATCTGGCACCATCTACCCAAATTCTCCAGTAGCTGAGCTGACCCTAACTCATGGCAACCCCATGTGTGTCAGAGGAGAGCTGTGCTCCACAGGGTTTCCAAAGGTTGATTTTTCAGAAGTAGATCACCAGACCTTTGCTCTGTTGACTTGAACCACCAACCTTTTAACTAACAGCTGAGTGCTTAACCGGTTGTGCCACTCAGGGACAGCATGGTGGCTCAGTAGTAAAATTCTTGCCTTCCACACAAGGGACGAAGGAGTGTGGCTATGAGGAGGGCTGATAAACTCAAGGTCAGCAGTTTGAAACTACCAGCCGTTCTGTGGAAGAAAGATGAGGCTTTCTGCTCCCATAAAGATTTAAAGCCTTGGAAACCCCATGCAGGGTCACTATGAGTAAAAAATGACTCCATGGCACATAACCACCACCACCACGTAAAGGACCTGGGTTCAATTCTTGGTCAGTGCAACACAGGTGGTCTGCCTGTCAGGGGCGGTTTGTATGTTGCTAGGATGCTGTATGGGACTCAATGGAGCTTTTAGATGAAGACAAGCTAAAGCGAAAGGCTTGATGATCTACCTCCTATAATCAGCCAATGAAAACTCTGGGAGTCACAACAGCCCAACGTCCATGTGCCTGAGGCCAACTCCACAGCAACTAACAGCACCCAAATTGTACACACAGTTATCTGAGCTTTTATGTCAGAAAACAAAGAACATACTAAGTTCTGTTTCTAGGAACCTATCGAACATAAGCACACAAAGACCTGTACAAGAATGGGTCAGTATGCTGCTGAATGATGATGCACAGATGAGATTGTAATCATTGCAATGAAACAACAGAGTAATGCTGATGTTCGCCCATGTAAACTATCACTCAGTTCACAAAAAAAAAAAAAAAAAAAAAAGACTGGGTTAGTGTGACACATGTATATAATTTTAATGGCAAACTGTGAAACCAGGGGGGTTGGTTAGGCATGTTATAGGACCATCTCTCAGTGGGGCACTTCATAATCATGCTGGAGATTACAGACTCTGTCCTCCCCTAACTTAACAACAACAACATGATAGCAACCAGGTTACTATAGTTTATATATGGTCAATGTCTCCAGAAAACTCAGTATTTTATTAACATTGTTGATGCTATTGTTGATTGCTGTCAAGTCAGTTCTGACCCATAGCAGCCCTGTATAGAGTTTCCGAGGAGCAGCTGGTGGGTTTGAACTGTTGACCTTGCAATTAGCAGTCAGTACTCAACCAACAGTGCCGCACAAGGCAATCAGTTGATTCTCCTTTATTTACTGAGAGGGACTGAACTCTGTCCCTCCCTCCCCCCACATAGATGTCAGCGATGAGTCTCAGAATTATGTAATTATACTCTTACAGGTTATAAGTCCTGGTGTGGCACTGTGCGATAAAGCACTGAACCACAAGTCAGTTTGAACCACAAGGTTGGCGGTTCACTCACCAGCTGCTCCTTGGAAATCCTAAACAGGGTCAATATGAGTCGGAACCAACTCAATGGAACTTAACGATAACAACAACAACAGATATTAATAGTAGTCCAAGTGTGGCACTGTAGGATAAGCTGTGGACTGCTAACCCGACGGTGAGTGGTTCAAATCCACCAGCTGCTTCTTGGAAACCCTATAGTGGTGGTGGTGGTGGTGGTGGTTATGTGCTGTGGAGTCAGTTCCGACTCATAGCAACACTGTATAGGGTTTCCAAGGCTGTAAATCTTTACGGGAACAGAAAGCCTCATCTTTCTCCTGCAGAACCGCTGGTAGTTTCGAACTGCTGACCTTGATAATAGCAGCCGGACTTGTAACCACTACGCTACCAGAGCTCCTTTGGAAACCATATACAGACACTTAACAACAACATGCTGTTAATGAGGTGGGAGTCAAGGCAGGTATGTAAATGAGACAGGAGACAATCTGCATGGTTGGGTTGTATCTTGAGTCAATGTCTTTGGAGATATAAAAACACTTAAACAAGCAAGTGGAGATCAGGAGGGGCCTCCTGTCACCAAGAAAGAAGAGTTGGGAGTGCAGTGCATCCTTTGGACCCAAGGTCCTTGAACTGAAACCTCCCAAACCCAGGGGAGGATCAATAACAAGTACTTTCCCCCAAAGCTGACAGCAAGAACATCTTCCCACAGAGTGGACACCCTGAATTTCCAACTTTTAGCCTCCTAAAGTGAGAGAGAATATATTCGGTTTGTTAAAGCCATCCCCGGCGGTAGTTCTGTTATGGAAGCATTAGAACACTAAGACACTCTCCCTTTTGTTCCATAACTTAAAATAAGGTTTAGTAAGTTGTTCAGAATAAACTCATTTCACATAGATTAACAATGTGAGCAGCCACTTACCAAGACAAGTCCACCAAATGTCAGCATCGTGGGGCCAATGTTAATTAAGGTGGTCACTATGACCCGGAATCTAGGAGAAAACAAGGCTTTCAAGAAAAAGCAAGAGGGAAGACATAAACTAACACTGGATCCAGACTAGCATGTATTAGTTTAATACCCTGTTCTCCCCAGCCCTATGTTTCAGTGGTTTGCTTTTGTAATGTTGTTGGAACTGTCCCATCTACTAAGCTGGGAGAGGGAGTTAACATGCTGTTTCTCTTGGATCAAAGTAAGAAAGGCAATTACAAACCCAGGCGCATACGTGGTTCAGAGCACAACCAAAAGGTTGGTAGTTTGAACACGCCCAGAGGTGCCTAAGAAAAAAGGTTTGGCGATCTGCTTCTGACATGTAGTTCTACTCTGCACACCGGGAGTCAGAACTGACTGCAGCTGGTTTTGTTTTTATGTTTGGGGATTTTTGTGGTTTTCTCTAGTAAGACATAAATGAGTGTGAAGGCTGAAAACTATTTGGCAACAACTACTTTTCACAGCCTCGGAAACCCTGTACAGGGTCGCTATGGGTCAGAACTGACTCTACGGCACATAACCACCGCCACCACTTTTCTCTCCTGGAGTCCTGGGGTGGCGATGTGGGTTAATGTGCCAGACTGCAAAGCCATTTGAACTGTAAGGTTGGCGGTTCAAGCTCACCAGCTGCTCCTCAGAAACCTTATACAGGGTCTCTATGGGTCAGAACCGACTCGACAGTACTTAACAACAACAACAACTTTTCTCTCCCAGCTTGTCTGCATCAAAGGCATGTAAGTCTGTTCTACGGGTGTTCTGGAGGCCAATCCTCTGATGGAGGAATCCCCCTGCAGTCCTGGGAAGGAGTCCGGGGCAGAGTTTATCCAGGTTTGGGGTCAGACTCCCAGGTTTACTCCTGGGTCTGCATCTATCTAACTGTGCACCATCAGGAAAGTTACTCAACCTCTCTGAGTCTCAGAGTCACCATCTGTAAACTAGCGGTAACACAATTCTCCAGGTCATGGTGGATAGTGGATTTAATAATAAAACATTCACAGAGGTACCTGATGTTTGGTTAATTCCCAATAGCATTAGCTGTCTTTATCACTCCCCACCCCCATTTTCAGTGATAACTGTAATTGAGCAGGCACAAGGAAGCCAGGCACAGAGAGATGAAAGTGACCAATGACAAAATCCCCACACTGAAGAAACTGCCGTTTGCATGCTCTTTAGCCCTTCTCCCTGCCACCCCAGACCCCTACATAGTCACAGTCTGGGCTCATCACCCACTACGTCTATGGCCAGGCAGGATGTGGGGAGGCACCTGCAGGCAGCAGTTCCGTGGCTTCATCCCTACCTCTGAATGCTGATGATGACCCGTAAGAGCCGGAGTATTCTCAGCACCAAGACAATATCCAATATCTGCTGACTGTTGTATTTTCTTGCTGGAAATAGAACAGAATCACTTAACAATCCATTTTCTACAGTCTCTGGTTTGGCCCTATTCAATGAGATCTGAAATTCTGTAGGCAACATGGAAGGACTGGGTGTCACTTAAAGAACAGGACAATGGTTCTGAGCAAGTTGGAAACCAGAGCTGCCTTGATCAGGAAATAACCCTGCAAATTAAAGCCAAGTCAGGTAAGTATGTGCCTAGGACCTCCTTTCTCTCCCTCTTCTGTCCTGGGCCCAGAGTCAGGGAGTGGAAAGTGTGCTCGGCTGGGCTGTTTGTGGGTGTAGATTTTAGACCAATAACAGAAGATGTGCTCCAACAAGCCTTTCTTTCCCCAGCACTCATATTGGAGTCTTGGTGTGGCGCTGTAGGATGAGCACTCAACCATAAGGCAGGTTTGAACCACAGGGTCAGCAGTTCAAACTCACCAGCTGCTCCTTGGAAACCCTATACAGGGTCATTATGAGTTGGAACCGACTAGATAGTGCTTCACAACAACATTCATATAGTTATGGTAGGAAGCTGCACTATCCCATAACACCCCTGCTCCCCCTGCCATCAGCAGGAAGGCGTTTGTTTGGGGGCAGTGGTGAGAATGGTAGGCAGGGAATGATGCAGAAGATTCCCCTTGCTCCTGGGTTCAATCATATATGGCAGAGGCCACATCTGCTATGGTTGGAACCTGGATGGAGGATGAGGTAGGCAGTGGGTCATCCCTGAGGCCAAGGGCCCATTCTGGAGAGGAGACGGTCAGGTGAGTATTTGTCTGATGGACATCTACAAACAAAATCATTAAAATGCAGCTAAAGACATGACTTTAATGGGAGCTGAAACCCCTTCCCCAAAACATGACTATTTAAAATAATTCTCTTGTAAACCCTCACCTCAAATGTCTCAGTGGTGCATAGGGAATGTCCAACAAAGACTGCTTTCTAAATGTGTGATCCCAGGAGGGGGTGAAGCCACGAGCCAGAGACACTGACCTGACTGGATGGTGGCATTGGCCACAGTGGCCACCAGGGCTGCAATGATGATCAGCGTATCAAACCTACCAGTGAAAACGCAAAGTCAGTTACCAGTCCAGGGAAAGGCCTGTCAAGCTCACAATATGATGGATTTTGAGAAAACTTCTAATCCAGTATCTTATGCAAGTGACCCAGCCATACAAGATGGATATTGGTGAACAGGACTAATGTCACTGAATGATACATGTGAAGAACACTGAAAAGGCAAGGTAAGAGATACTGTATGACCAGCAATCTCTCTACTTGACATCTACCCTCAAGATAACACCAATAGATATATGCACACTTCTGGTTTTGTAGCATTATTTACAGCAGCAAAACGATGGAAACAGCAAGATGCCCATCAGCAGAGAGGAATGGTTGAACAAACTTTGGTACATACACACAATGGAATATTATGTAATACTGAAGAAAAACAATGAATCTTCAACACACCACATAACATAAAGGAACCTGGAGGACATTATGCTGAGTGAAATTAGTCAATGGCAAAGGGACAGATATTACATGAGATCACTACTGTCATAAATCAAGAGGTTTTCATTGTATAATAAACTTTTTATGATGTTTACCAAAGGAGCTGTTGTAGTGTAGTGGGTTATGAGTTGGGCTGCTAACCTCAAGGTCAGAGGCTCAAATCTACCAGCCGCTCCAAAACAGAGAGAAGAGGTTTTCTGCTCCCATAAAGATTTACAGCCTTGGACACCCTATACAGGGTCACTGTGAGTCAGAACAAACTCCATGGCACACCCCCACCACCCCCATCACCATGATGCTTACCAGGGGTAGGAGGGAATGGAGACTTATTCATGAGGTAGAGTGTAGACACACAGTAACTTGGGTAATGGGGGGAAGTCAGTAAAAAAGAAAAGGAAGGAAAAGAGAAAAAGGAATGAAAAAAAAAGAGGAAATTTCTTTCTTTTTTTTTCCTGGTCTTTTCCAAAAAATGTTATCTATTTTTATTAATTAAACATGAAGATCAGCATCTTCTGTGTTGTTATAACATCTGACCTCTCATTTCATCTTAATAATTTTATCTTCTCTAGGAGCTCTGGTAGCGTAGTGGTTACGAATCGGGCTGCGAACCTTAAGGTCAGCGGTTCGAAACTACCAGCTGCTCCGCGGGAGAAAGATGAGGCTTTCTACTCCCGTAAAGATTTACACCCTCGGAAACCCTGTACAGGGTCGCTATGGGTCGGAACCGACTCGACGGCACTTAACAACAACAACAACTAGTAACATGGCCTCAATTATGGTGGATTATGATATACAGAAATGTTTTTGAAGACAGCCTTGTATATAACAAAGTGAGTAATTGTGATTTTTTTTTTTTAAGAAAAGGCAAACTATTTTTTAAATACATGTTGTTGTTAAGTACCATGAAGTCACTTCTGACTCACCCTGTACAGGGGTTTCTGAGGAGTGGATAGTGGGTTTGAACTGCCAACCCTGCAGTTGGCAATCCAGTGCTTAACCTACAGCCCATGCCAGGACTCCTTGCTACATATATATTGGCAAAATAAATAAATAAACTGATTTGCATAATTTTTAGGACAGCAAATCTGAGTCAAGAAATATTATGTTTGAACAATCCAATGATCATTCATTGGCTAATTCAAAGAATCACCCAAGGGAATTTGTAAGAAATCAGTTAATTCACATCACTTCAAAAGTCTTCCAAAATAATTATAACTATATTTTCACAAAAATAGCAAGTGTTGTATGGTTTTTGCACACTATGCCACCCTCTGACATGTTAGTTTCTTCTGCATACCATATCCATGTGCCCATTATTTATGTGGGCACATTATATGTGAAAAAATATAGCACTTGTAAGAATACTTCGACAAGTTTTCTGAATACATGGTATAGTGTCTCTTGGCATTCATTGTATTCAATACATTGACATTAATTGTATCAATCTAAAAAAAGAAAATCATCAAGTTGTTACTTTTCCCTGACAGTAATTCTGACAAGAACCTCCTGCCACTGAGTTGATGCTGACTCATAGCGACCCTCTGTAGGGCTTCTGAAGGAGCTCTGATAGCGTAGTGCTTACGAGATGGGCTGCTAATCTCATGGTCAGCAGCTGGAAACTAACAGTGGTTCTGCGGGAGAAAGATTAGGCTTTCTGTTCCTGTAAAGATTTATAGCCTCAGAAACCCTATGCAGGGTTGCTACGAGTCCGAATCGACTCAGTGGCACACCACCACCATTACCACCACAAGACTTCGGAGACTATAAATCTTTATAGGGGCAGATAGCCTCATCTTTCTCCTGCTGAGCAGCTGATGGATTTGAACCACAGTTAACAGTGTATATCCCACAGTGTCACCAGAGCTCCTTAAGGGATAAGAAAGTACTGGCCAGTGTTAAAGGGCTTCCCTTAGACCACGCGTACACCTCAATACAGTTCCCAGCACTTAGAGCAGCTGGTGCAAAATCCAGCCCCCTCCCTGAATTGTTCATCACTTGAGACAGGACTGGGTCCCCGTAGTGCCTGACCCACAGTGGCAGTCCATATAGCCAGACACTGAGCACCCAGCACTGGCTGGTTATGGCATGTGGGTGATGGGTCTAGAGACAAGAAGACCCAGATACACTCAGCCCATAGAACAACCTGCCAGCAATCCTGTTGTCCAGGCACAAGGGCAGAGTTTTCTGACAAGGAGACCAGGGAGCTGGCCAAGGGAGCTATGGAAGGAATTGGCTCATTAGGTATCAAGTTTTAAGTTCCTTTCCAAACCCAAGATGTCATGATTTGTGATTCTAATTTTAGTTAATGAGTTCAAACTCACATCATGAATAACAATTTTATTAAGCCAGGTATCTCCCTGGCCCAGCTCCAAGATTTCATTATAAAATCCTGCAGATTGAGCTGAGCGATGGAGCGTGGAGAACTACAACCACATTCCCCAAATTTTGACTTCCTTTTCCTCCCCGCTTCCCAGGGCACACATGCTTACCAGTTCCAGAACTGCTTCCTTCCAAAATAGGCTCTGGGCTCATACGTGTACAGTTTCAGGAGAATCTCAATAATATATAGAGAAAGGAAAAGCCATTCTGCATAGGAAATGAAGGGGTTTTTCTCATCCAGAGCAATGAATATGGCATTTAGTAGAATGATGACATCATAAGTCCAGACAAAAATCCTGGCATGGGGAAAAAAAGAGAACTTGTTACCATGAATTGCATTTCACTGAAATCCTTCTGGGGCTACTTTGCGTCCTAGAGCCATTATGAATGAGGACTCCCCCTCCCTCCAGGGAGAAAAGAAAGGCAGAGGGCAGGAAGAGGCTAGAGCAATGGTTTCCCTTTTGAGGGCACAGTACCTCTAAGTAGCTGAAAGCTTAGAATTAAGTAGTGGAAGGCAGGGAAAGGGTTTAGGGTTTAGTACAGGATAGGCAAACACTACTATTTGTCCCTGGAAAATTAACATTCTTAATTAAGAAAACTTCCAAAAATTCTTTACCCCTAATGCACAAGGGACCTTCCAGAGGCCTGGCACCTCCATCTTTCTCATCCAGCTTCAGGTGAAAGTGAATGAAAAACTATGATAGCTGACTCTCATTCAACTTTCTGTTCCAGAGCAGCCCGAGAGCTCAGGTGAACCTCTCTGGTATGCCCTGGACATGGCAATGTCATGGAAGAGAGGAGGGGCCCCAGTATTTTCAGTGAAGCTGTGGACTCCAGGATCTCACAGTGGGTGTCACACATGGACATACAAACACCCACCACACAAAGTACATCAGTAGTTCAATGCTCACATTAACAGCAAGGAAGTACTATATACAGGATTTTGATCAATATAAATTACAGGTGGAAAAAAGGGATACTTCATAGACAGAACTACTTTCAAGGGCTTCTGAACCATTCACATTGATAAACTTCAAAGAAAGATGAATTCAAAGAAAGCAGGAGGCCACTATGGCTGAAGATGAGTTATTGATACCAGTATTCTAGGCTACATATATTAAAAGCAAGACCTCAAACAAGGATAAATGATTAATTCTGGATCTACTTGAAAATAAAAGCATACATGTTCAAATCACTATAAAAGCTTAAATTGTAGAAAATCTTAACCAGCCTCCTAAACGATCATTCCAGTAACTCCAACTCCTGAGCTCTTACTACATAATCCACAGAATCAAAGTGCCATATGTGATCTGAACTTCCTGTTAACTCTGATGGGACTGCGGTCTCATTAGAATTCAGGGAGTGGTCAACTTCATCGGCCCAGAATCCAGTCTATCCTTAAACATCTTAGGACACATTGCAGAAGCAGGCATACTCTATAAATCTGTGCTTTTGGCATGGTCAAACATAGTATATCTACATTGTCTACAGATAAACCAAAAGCAATGAGCAGGGTGAGAGTTTACAGCTTTGAGGATGAAGTACTTTCAGTCCAGATGCCATGAACCAATTCCTCAGTTTTAAAGCAATGAAAGAGCAAACTGGTCACAAGTAACTTGCCTATGCCGAACCATCTTCTGGATGAAGAGGCTCACTGAAGACTTGTACACTCGTGGCATCCAGGCTTCCAGGGGATGTCTCTCGATGCTGATGGTGATCACTTGGATGTTGAGGAGGTCAGCCAAGCGTAGAAAGTTTGTTTTATCTGCAATGCAAAAACAACCCAAGATTCATGGTTACTATGACACGAAAGTCCAAAGGATAAAGTCAAGTCAATACAAACTCTATGTCTTCTTTCACAGATGAAGACCTAAAGCCTCAAAAGGTGAAGACCCATGGCCAAGGAGACAGGGAGTGGCAGAACCACCCTCAATCCCCCAAGTTTCTTCATTAAGCCCCACGACCAACGGAAGTAAGCAGACCAAGATTTTACAATCAGGAGATGCTACCATCTCACTACCTCCCACATTGCTTTCTTCCTAAGATACCATCGCTGCTTTCAGTGTCTGCTTTAACCTACCCTTCCAGCCTTGCCTACCCTTCCACAAAGCCTTTCAGACCTGAATGTAACCCACACCCTTCCACTTGAATCCTTACCATCTTCTCTGCTCACCCTTCCTCTCTGAACCTTCTCAAACCCACAGCTTCCACAATGAGCTCACCCACCAATGTACAATGTACAATGCTTTCTTGATGGACAGGACCCACCTAACTGAGTAGCTGATGCTCTCCAGACCCTATGAGTCCCTGGGGCAATCAGGCTATTCACTGCTGTCCCATGCACTCTGCACCCACTAATCAGGTCAAGTACTGACCACAGGCTAACTGGACTGCTTCTCAAACCTGTTTATGTTGAACTTAAATACCTAAAACTTAAAGAACTACCACCCAAACGGATGAAATCAGGATGTGCAAAGAGTGTGACTGTTTTTCTGAAAACTAAGTTGAATGCTTTGCAAACTTGAAAGAAAGTTGTTAAAATAAATTGCAGTTGTAAATCATCCCACGTAGCTATGGCAACCATCAAGAATTAAGGCAGGAAGTTTTAAAACCTGAAGAATTCTCATTTAGGATACTTTATAAATGTCGATACATCCACTTCAGTTTTCAAAAATCAAGTAAACATCACGTTTGTTTGTTTGTTTTTTTGGCAGGGGATGGCATCATGATGTGGCTTATGCAAGAACGACATTGCGGAACTTTCTTTTTGACTTTAACAAACAGAAATGTATTCTCTCAGTCTCTAAGGGCCTAAAAGCCTGAATTCAGAGCACCAGCTGTACAGGAAGACCTTCTATCTCTGTGAGTTGTGGGGGAAAGTCCTCATCTCCTTTTGACAGTGGGCCCAGCATTTCTTGAAAGCCTACATGTGTCTTGGCATCAATATTCCCTTGGGTCTAGGAGATTCTTAGCACAGGGACCCTGGGTCCAAAGCATATGCTCAACATTGCAGGGCTTTCATTAACAGACATTCATACAATGAAAAGACCTTGACTTGTAAGAAACACAGCTTCATCTGAGTGAAGAGCCCAAATCAGACAAAGCCTTGGGTGATATCAAACACTTGTGTTGCTAGTTGAAATGTTTCTAAGAGTTGCATGGTCCTATGGAATTATATTAGCATTCAAAGTGATAAAAATGAAGTCTAGTGTTAAGTGAAGCAACACAAAACTTAAGGAATGTGGCAAGAAAGGGACTGAGTAGAATTATTAACGCAGAGGATGGAGCAAGTAACCATCCACTAACCTTACTCCTCCAGGAATTGTCCAGTCCTTAGAACATGAGTCCATCAAGAGAGATGAAAAACACATTCAGACACCTTAGGATCCATTATGTTCCCAGGTCTTCAGAGTTAGAAGGAAAATACACGTACATATATTAATAGGTAAAGACATACAAAATTCACTTCGATGGAAGTCCAGTCTCAGAAGAATTAAGTAACATTTATAACCTGAACCCAAGGAGCTGAGTTATGGAATCTCCATCACTTGTGGTTATTGCCATACTGAAATTGCAAACCTAAATAAATTACAGGTGGCTTCCCCAGTTTGCTGACAGGAATCTTATCAAAATCTCTGGCCAGTAAGTAACCCTAATCAATAGGGATGCAATCAGTCTCTGTGGGTTCACATTTTTAACCCAGAAGATGCAGAATAAAAGGGGAAGGAAGAACAACAAAATCATACTAATGTTGTGTGACAAAGGAATTGTACCCTTCTGCTACTTTAGGTTGTAGACGAGGGTTGGAAGACTGTCTATAAAAAGGGTCAGAGAATAAATATACTAGGTTTTGTGGGTTGTATGATCTCAGTTGCAGGTACTCAACATCACAGAGTAAAAGCAGTCATGGACAATATATAGATGCATAGACATCGTTCCAGTAAAATTTTATTTTCCACAGAAGGCAGCGAACTGTCAGCCTTTGTTATAGATGCATTACTTGCCCCATATTCTCTTTAACAACAACAACAACAATCATTTTACTCAGCACTCTTATTTCAAACTTATTAAGTTTTGTGTTTCTCCATTTAACACTAGGTTTAAGTTTGAATGCTTTGGGTACTAACAGAATTTCAGTGGTTAGCCTTGGAAACCACAAACTCTTATAACTACTGAACCAGGGGAAGACAGACAACAGTCACAGAAGTATCTGCCTCTCTCTTCAGTGTAGAACTACTGAGACCATGTGAAATATGCAGTCAATCTGGTCTGGCTTTCTGTTATTAAAACTACCATTGAAAATGTAACTTGAACAAAGGAGTCTCTGGGGATACCCAGACATCAGAAATTACTGCTATGTGAAATATAACCTGTAACTCCATAAAGCCTACATACCTGACTGTCTGTCTTCCTCAAGCATGTGTTTGCCCTGTACCTTCATTATCTAGTGCTGCTATGGCAGAAATACCACAGGTGGATGGCGTTAACAAACAGTGTTAACACAATTTAGCAGGCTTGACGTCTGAAATCAGGACAACAAATCTATGGAAAAGCTTTCTCATCAGCTCTAGAGAAAAGTCCTTGTCTCCTTCCAACATGTGTAGGCATCAATCCTGCCCTGAGTCTAGGAGGTTCTCAGCACAGGGACAGAGTAGAACTGCCCCGTAGGGTTTCCAAAGCTGCTATCTTTATGAATCCCATGGAGAAGCTGGTGCCTTCTAACCACCAGCCTTTTGGTTAGCAGTTCAATGCATAACCACTGCACCAAAACAGCCCCTTAGTTGTGAAGGTCTTAGCAGGTAAACCATAGGTACAAGAAAGCTCTTGAGTAGGTCAACAATCTATGACCAGAATTGGCAAAACAGTAAACAGTTTCCTAACAAAATTCCTCATTTAATTGGCTTCAAATGAACAGTTGTTATGTTGTTAGCACAGTCAAGTCGGTTCTGACTCATAGTGATCCTGTATAGGATTTCTAAGGAGCAGCAGTTCAAGCTCACCAACTGCTCCTTGGAAACCTTATACAGGGTCATTGTGGGTCCAATCGACTTAAAGGCATTTAACAACAACATAACAAAGAACATTAGACTCAATAGAAAAAAGCCCATAGCAGGCCCATCAGGCCCTGCCCATCCCCCCAGGCAAGTGACTTCTCTTTATTCAGACCAGGCAGCTGGTTTTGCAGACATCACCCAGGCAGATTTCTCACAAATCTGCAACATTTACACTGATTTTCATTATCTTTTGGAAGACTACTGTTGTTAGGTTACCATATGATTCACTGTTGTTGTTAAAGTGCCGTTGAGTAGGTTTCGATCCATAGTGACCTATATAGAGTTCCTGAGTAGCAGCTGGTGAGTTTGAATCACTGACCTTGTAATTCAAACTGACCTTGCAGTCCAGCACATTAGCCCACAATGCCACACCAAGACTCTGTATGACTCATAGCAACATACAGTTGTTACAATGTTTGAGCACGTTGTTGCAGACACTATGTCAGTCCATCTTGTTGAGGGTCTTCCTCTTTTTCTCTGTTCCTGTACCTTACCAAGCATTATGTCCTTTTTCAGGTCTCTCCTGAAAATATGCCCAAAGTACATGAGATGAAGTGTCTCCATCCTCACTTCTAAGGAGCATTCTGGCTGTAACTTCTTCAAAAACAGATTTGCTTGTTCTTCAGGCAGTCCATGGTACTTTCAGTATTCTTTGTCAACACAATTCAAAGGCATAAATTCTTCTCTAGTCTTCCTTAGTCATTGTCCAGGCAATGAATGCCTTCTCTTTCAGATGCATATGAGGCGATTTACAGTACCATGGCTTGGGTCAGGTACACCTTAGTGTACCTTCAAAGTGACATCTTTGCTCTTTAACACTTTAAGGAGGTCTTTTGCAGCAGGTTTCCCCAATGCAGTCAGTATGTTCTTTGATTTCTTGATTGCTGCTTCCATGAGCATAGATTGTGGATCCAAGTAAAATGAAATCCTTGACAACCTCAATCTTTTTTCTTTAATCATGATGTCTATTGATCCATTTGTAAGGATTTCTTTACCTTGAGTTGTATTCTTTGATCTTCATTACTAACTGCTCCAAGGTCTTCCTTGCGCTCAGCTTGTAAGGTTATGCCATCTGCATATCACAGATTATTAACGAGCCTTTCTCAGATCCTGACTCATCTAATACAGTTTCTCAGATTATTTGCTCGGCATACAAATTGAATACGTATGGTGAAACGATACAACATTGACACACACCTTTCAAACTAGACAGTATCTCCTTATTCTGGTCTAATGACTGCCTCTTGGTCTACTTACAGTTTCCACATGAGCACAAGTAAGTGTTCTGGAATTCCTACTCTTTGAAATGTTATCCAAAGTTTGTTATGATCTACACAGGTGAATGCCTTTGCATAGTCAATAAAACACAAGTAAACATCTTTTTGGTATTCTATACTTTTATCCAAGATCCATCAGATATCCCTCGCTCTTCTGAATCTGGCTTGAATTTCTGTCCTCTCCCTTTTGATGTATTTGCTGCAACCAGTTTGAAAAAAACTTTATCGAAATTTTACTTACATGTGATGGTAATGATATTGTTCAATAATTTCCACATTCTGGGCACAAATATAGATCTCTTCCAGTCAGTTAACCAGATAGCTGTCTTTCAGATTTCTTGGCATAGACGAGTGAGTGCTTCCAGCACTGCATCAATTTGTTGAAACACTTCAATTGATATTCTGTCAATTCCTGGAGATTCATTTCCCACTAATGCCATTGAACTTTTTCCCTCAATATTATCAGTTCTTGATCATATACAATCTCCTAGAAGGGTTGAACACTGACCAATTCTTTTTGGTACAGAGATTCTATATATTTCTTCCATCTTCTTTTGATGCTTCCTGCATCATTCAGTAGTTTGTCCATAGAATCCTTAAGGTTTGAATTTTTTCTTAAGTTCTTTCAGCTTGAGAAATGCTGAGTTCATACTTCCCTTTCGGTTTTCTAACTCCAGGTCTTGGTACATTTCACTATATCACTTTATTTTGTCTTCTTGAGCTGCCCTTTGAAATTTTCTGTCAGCTCTTTTACTTCCTCCCTTCTTCCATTCACTTTAGCTTCTTTACACTCAAGAGCAAGTTTCGGACTATTTTCTGATAACCATTTTAGTCTTTGCTTTCTGTCTTTTTAATGTCTTTTGCTTTCTTTGTGTATGATGTTCTTGATGTCATTCCATAACTCTTCTGGTCTTCAGTCATTAGTGTCTAACGCAGCAAATCTGTTCTTGAGATGATCTCTAAATTCAGGATCATATTTTGGCTCTCATGAACTTGTTTTACATTTCTGCAACTTTAGCCTTAACTTGCATATGAGTCTGTCGGCTCCAGGTCTTGTTTTAGCTGATGATATTGAGTTTCTACCATCTCTTCCCACAGAGGTAGTCAATTTGATTCCTGTGCATTCCATCTGGTGAGGTCCACACATATAGTCACTACTTACGTTGTTGGGTATTAAAAAAGTATTTGCAATAAAAAGTCATTGGTCTTGAAAAATTCTACCATGTGATCTCCAGCGTCATATTTTCCAACTATGGATCCTTCCTCCTTGTTTCCAACTTTCACAATCTATGTATCTCGATTGCATGTTTCATTACTTTTAGACTAAAGAAGTTGGTAGAATTTTGTAGCATTTTTCAATTTATCATTGACTTGGTAGTTGGTGTGTAAATTTGAATAATAATTGTATTCATTAGTCTTCCTTATAGGCACATGGATATTATCCTATCACAGGCAACATTATACTTCAAGGCAGATTTTTAAATGGTCTGTACGCCAGTGAATGTAGACACCATTCCTCTAGAATTTGTCATTCCCAGCATAATAAACCATGTGACTGTCAGATCCATTTCAGCTCACTAACACCTAGTATATCAATATTTATGTGTTCCACTTCATTTTTGATGACTTATAATTTTCCCATATTCATTCTTTGTACAGTCTACATTCTGATTATTAATGGATGTTTTCAGTTGTTTCTCCTCATTTTGACTTGTGCCCCATCAGCAAATGAAGGTCCCCAAAGCTTTCTCTATCCATATCATAAGGTTGACTCTACTTTGAGACTGCAGCTCTCCCCTAGTCGTATTTTGAGTGCCTTCCTACCTGAGGGGCTCACTTGGACCACTGTGAAAACAATGAGGTCTCTTGCTTCTGAAGGAGCTTACGTGTTGAATAGTCCTCACACTGTTTCCTGCTGCCGGTAGTCTTGGCCCGTAGGACAACGTTCTATGGCATAGCCATGTCTCATTCAGCCTCCTTTGACAACTCTTTGAGATGTGACCCTGAGCAGGATCAGAGTCCGCATCAGAAAAGAACTACTGCAGACTGGCAGGTGTCTTTTATAGCCAGATCTTCACTGTCATACTCCAGAGAGAGGTGCGTTAATACCAAAGAATCACTCTTACCTCTTGCTTATGTGATCCACACAATGGTAAACTCATACAAATAAGGGGAAGGGGAGCTTCCAAGAATACGCAGATGTGTTTGGTACGCTCCAAATTTGTCCTACACAGCAAAACAAGATTATGAGAACTGCTCTGTGGTCAGGCCCACATCATGAGAAAAGCTGTCCAAACACTGAGAGCAGCTCATGCTCCCAGTTAGGTGGAATTATCAATAGTTTGATTGATTTTATAAAGAAAGAAATATTGTCTTTTCTGGGCAAGTAGAAGATGCTCAAATATAAAGATGACACAGTGACTGAGAAAGGCTCCTAAAGTCTCTCATTGCTGGCTTTGGAACAGCTCATTCTTTAAGAACAATCAAGGAATATACTTTATAGAACAAGCTGTGAAAAAAGTTTGAAAAGCCCCAGAGATTTTTCAGTGTTCTCACAGTCCAAGTCAGAGGTAGTAGTAAAACAGACTGACCAGCTTGGGAATATCTGATTTTTTTTAAGAGAAAGACTCCTACTTCTTAGGAGCAGGAGCACTCAAGCAGAACCCAAGTCCCTAACACCACCTCCCACCCACCCCCGCCTGATGTTCTAGAGCAATGCTACTAATTGCCAATAGGAAGCACCAACATACAGTTTTCATTTGATCATTTAAGAAAACTTACAAACAAAACCCCATACCTCTGCTAGCTAAGAGGTTGCAGCTATAAGGCTACCCAGAGGTGCCTCAAAAGAGAGGCCAAGTGATCTCCTTCCCAAAATTCAGCCACTGAAAACCCTACAGAACACAAATCTAGTCTGACATACACACGTCACACCATGCGTCAGACCAACTTGACAACAACTGACTTGGATTTTGGTTTTGGTTTTACCCATAACTTGTAGGACCCAACTCTTTTGAACACATGGAAGAGAGGACCATGACAGGCCAAGGTTTCTTACCCACGTGCCCCTTCTGTTCCTCATCAGAGATCCTCAACAGGAGCTCCAGGTGGGAACTGCTGATGTCTGGCACCACGACCTTTGCCAGCTGCTTCCACTCAGCCTCCTTGACCACAAACTCTGTGCCCACCTCGACTTTCAAGATGTTGAAAGCCTCTATCATCTTATAACGTTTCAGGTAAACCAGCTTGCGGATCTCATTCTTAAAAAAAAAAAAAAGCAAAAACCAGGATTTTGATTTTTTAAGAGAAAGACTTAAGAAAGACTCATTTCTTTACCCTAAACATTTCAAGGTCATTGACAAGCCAAAAAGAAATCACTACTGAGTCTGCTAGCAAACAAGATATATTGTTGTTGGTGGTAAGTACTGTGGATTCGGTTCCGACTTATAGTGACTCTGCACAGGGTTTCCAAGGCTGTAAATCTTTACAGGAGCAGAACACCTCATCTTTCTGCCACAGAACTGTTGGTAGTTTTGAATTGCTGACCTTGAGGTTGGAAGCCCAACTCGTAACCACTATGCTACCAGAGCTCCTTAAGATACATAATCCCTCCCCAATAGATTTGCTTAACTAACCCCTCTCTGCTTCAACAGAGCTCGTCTTACCAAATTCAGATGTGGGAGCACATGAAGGAAATCTGTGGTGAAAACCAAGAACTATAGGAGGCAGACAGCTCCTAGCTCCACTCGGGAAGGAGAAATTCCAGAAAGGATGGAAATCAGGCATGCTGCTGACAAGAGAAAAAGAGCAAGGGGGAGAGAGAAGGCAGATCCACCAGTAAGTAAATCATGAAAGAGAAAGGAAAAGGCAGGTCAGGGAAGTGAAACCAGGCTAGAAGTGGTCCAGAAAGAAGTAGTCCAGGGCAGGAAGAACAGCTGGGGCTGCCTGGCACTCCATCTGACCTGACCATATGCAACCTTCCAGAAGGAGAGAGAGGCCAACAGCCCTCCTCACATTATAGTCCATTCTCCCACCTTCATGCCTGCCCCTGGTGCTCCCTGTATGTGAGAGATACTTACATCACCATCACTTACTTGGTTATACAGCTATACCATGCCATAATTATCCCTGAATCCTTAGGAACGTGCATGGGGCCTGGACCAGAAGCTGGTTTTAATATATTTGCTGACTGGCCCATGTCTCTTTGTGGAGAGAGGTGTGGACAGAGTATTAGTTCTGTGCCTCAGTGAGACAGAGGCAGACACTTGGGACAGCAGCTTTCCACCCAGAAGGAGGAAGTGAGAAGCAGCAGGCCCTCTAGGAAGCCCGGCCTCAGGGTCAGGAGAAGCTAAGGTTCCATAGTGCACAGATTCCTTCCTGATGGCCTGGGAAAAGCCAGACCCCTTCAAAGGCCAGTTTGGCCAGATCTCAAACTCTGCCCCAGCACCTGCTTCTCCTTAGCTGCAAACATTTACATTTCCTTCTACTTGTCCCCTGGTGTGATCACCTCTAAGCAATGAAAAACCAAAAGAAGTAAGAGGCTTAAGGCTCAAAACCTCTGACTTATGCCTTTCCTTAAGGACAATCACCCTTAGGAGAAAGGTGTCTCCATACAACCAGTTTTACAATACAAGGAACAGCCACCCAGAGATCTGTGTGCGTGGGTAGCAGTGGAGGAGGGGCAGATGAGATATCTGAGGTGTCCCAGTGAATACCAGAATGCAAATAAAACATCCTTTTACTCCAGGTATTCAAAAACTTCTCCCTGTTCCACATGTCCAGGAACTCTCCAAACACAAATCAGACAGACAGGTGGCAGGATACAGACTCTGGTTTTAAGAAGAGTCTACTTCTGTTTGAGGGAGAAAAGGAGCCATCAATCATACACAAAATGCTTCAAGGAGCCAGGAGCTATTTGATGAGTTAAGAGTAAGATGTAACATTGCACATAAAGGAGTCCATGCCCTGGTTAAATTCGCTGCCCTTCAGTATCTGTTCAGACACATTGTCAGAGCCATCACAAAGGCAGGTAAAGAACTGCCCCGCTTAGCAGAAGGGACCAAGACAGCAAGCAAACCTCCAGACCCACCTGAATAAATCAATAAAGGACACATTAAAATACTTAGCAAATTCATTTGCCTGCCTTCTCTCCCTACTGTTGTGCCCATCCCAGGTTCCTGCCCCCCACTCCCACCCCAGCTCACACACGATACCTTTAAGTGCTTCCTATAATTGTTGTACACGACGGCCAGGAAGACGGACATGAAGATGTAGGTATTGATGATGATGTATGTTATAAAGTACAGAGAATACCACCAATTGAAGTTATAGGCAGGCATCCTAAAAGGAAATAATTATGTTTCATGGTTTTCATACCCTATTTCCTGCATACATATAAAGCACAGTCTATGTACCTGAGGCGCCAGGAAAACTTCACTCACTCTCTCTCCTGCACGCAGTACAATCTACTCTCCATCTACTCAATATAAACTGTACTATACTGAGGCCTCAAAGCTTCACCAACTCTAATGCTAAACAGCTCAGCTCCAAGTCTGCCCTACTGATTTTCTTAGTGCCTCATAGAGGTGCCAAATTTCAAAGCAGGTGGGACCTTGGGAGCCTCCCAATCTAATCTCCACCCTAGATTTCCCTGAATCAAGGCCTAGAAGGGGAATGGCTTAGCCACAGTTACAGAGGGAGTTGGAAGTGAGCCTTCAATTTACACTCAAAGCTGCTCAGAGCACCAGCCTGCTTTGGCAGAGGCCAGATACTTTCCCACCCACAGATAATGAGAATGAGAGGGCACTGCCAATAATCACATCAGGACAAGAAGCATAAATCAGGATGCGCTCACTCCACCTTCATGGAAACTGCTTTTCTTGCAGGTGGGTATGTTGGCATAGCTGGCAGGACCAGGTCTGAGGGACAGACTCAAGGGAACCCAAGGAGGGTGAGGATTTCACCTGGTTTATACTTTTGCCAGGGTCATGTCTGAGAGTGGGCAAAGACCAAAAGTAAGTGGGTTTGAGGATCCTATACATAAAGAAAAACAAAAACCCTAACTCAATACCACCGAGTCCACTCTGACTCAGGGCCTCCCCACTGCTCCATGGGCTTTTCTTGGCTGTAATCTTTATGGGAGGAGACTGCCAGGCCTTTCTTCTGTGGAGCCACTGGGTGAGTTCAAACTGCCAACCTTTAGGTTAATAGTTGAGTGCAAACCTTCTGTGCTACCTGTGGACTTACATATAAGCTGTTGTGTTAAGTGCTGTGAAGTCAGATTTGACAGACACCGACCCTGTAGAGGGTTTCTGAGGAGAGGCTAGTGGGTTTGAGCTTCTAATCCAGTGCTTATCCTACTGCACCACACCAGGACCCCACACTACCCCTCCTCAGATGTGCATGATTAGATGGGACGGGAGTTAGTGTCAGTTAGAGCTCTGACTGCACTCTAAACCTGAAGAGCGATCTACTCTATACAGTTTCCTAGTGTGTCCCCATCAACAAGCTCAATCCACAGTGATGTTAGGAGCAACAACATAATGTGCTAAGCAATGCCCACACATGCAAAGAATTGACATGTGGGGGCAAAGACACTGGGCAAGATTTGAGACAACTACAAATCTTTACATTTCTTCCCTGTTTCATTTACTCAGTAAACCACTTCAATGCTTAGGAGAGAAATGGTCAGTTTCCTCACAAAACATGGCTTTGGTACTGAAACTGAAAACTCAAAGACAATCCTACAGTAGGAAGTAGGCTTAAATATTTAAGAATTGTCCCTCAAAAGATGTCTCCTGCTGCTTTCAATTTTTAAAGAATTCACTGAAATTTAATTTTAAATAGAAAGGATAGGCTATCATTAGTGTGGAGTCCCTGCATCATGCAAATAGTTAATGTGCTCAGTTACTAAATGAAAAAGTTGGAGGTCCGAGTCCACCCAGAGTTGCCTAAGAAGAAAAGCCTGGTGATCTGTTGTTATTGTTGTTAAGTGCCATCGAGTCAGTTCCAACCCATAGCGACCCTGTATAGGGTTTCCAAGGAGCAGCTGGTGAACTTTAACCGCCAACCTTGCAGTTCAAATGGTTTTGCAGTCTGGCGCATTAAGCCACAGCTCCACACCAAGACATTCTCTCTCTCTCTCTCTCTCTCTCTCTCTTTCTCTCTCTCTCTATGAAACTAGCACAAACATTTTCTACTCTTCAATTTTTTCTTTTACAATAAACATGAATTAAAAGAACATTTCTATTTTTCTCTTTCAGCCCTGCTAGTGAATAAAGTGAATTCTGCTAAAGTGAAGCCTATGCACAAGACGCTGGAACATGAAGTACATGACGTCAGGGCTGTTTGCAGTAGTCACCAGCACGTAGAGCTCAAAAGCTATCTCCAGGATGTTTGTAAAGTATGGTGATCCTTCCACTGTCTTAAGACCCCTAAGGAGGAACCAAAAACACACAGTCAAAAACTCATGCACATAAATTAGGCTGTGGTTTCTGGTACACTTCTCCCCTTTCAAAAATACTCTTGGAGTATTTAAACAAGGAAGATTGCTTCCGGCGACAGATCCAGCAGGCTTAAACCAAATACAGGAAACTTGCAGAGACTTATGCTCACCTATTCCCAAAGAGCTTCAAGGCCATGAGGGAGAAGATCAGCATATTGAATATAAATAAGAGGAAGACATAGAGGATATCCGGCAGAGTATTCCGGATGCTCCGGAAAGCTCTTCGGATCTGCAAAGACAAAGTTTAATTTCATTTACAAGAAATCAGCTAATTTTCTGCCAAAACCTAAATACCACCAACTTTCAATTGTTTCCTTACCTGCCGACTTTCAGGGAAGTTAATTAGGAAGACTGGCCTTAAGGCCCTCGACCATCTAACACTGTGAATGCTAACAGCTTCCAGGGATCCATAGACAATCAGATCAATCAAGGTCAGCTGTGAGAGACAGTTAAAGGACAGAAGCAGAGATGCTGTGTTTTACATTCCCAGAAGAAGCATCACAATAGGTTATGTGAAAAAACAAGTTTTATAATCAAAAAATCTCAATTTTGTAATACACATGTAACACTGTTTTTAAGTGTCGTGGAGTTGATTCTGACTCATAGTGACCCTGTATAAGGTTTCCAAGGAGCAGATGGTGAATTTGAACCACAGACATTGCAGGTCAAACTGACCTTGTGGTACAGTGCTTATCCTACAGCGCCACACTCCGACTCCACATGTAACATTAATAGCAGCTAATATTTGAGTGTCTACTACGTTTGTCATATAACAAACATCTTCCATGGATTATTTCATTGTATCCACAAGGTAGGCACTATTCCTAACCAAACTTTCTCTAGATGGGGAAGACTGAGCACAGAGAAGGTAAGCACCTAACTACTGGTCACACAGCTATTAAGGAGCAGATATGGCTAGAACCCTGGAAGGCTGATGACAGAGCCCTTGCTACTAACCACACTGCTACCTGCTTGCACATTGTGGTTGTTGTTATGTGCCGTTGAGTTGGCTTGGATTCGTAGTAACCCTACTCACAACAGGACAGAACACTGCCCAGTTCTGTGCCATCCTCACAATTATTGTTACGTTTGAGCCCACTCACTGTTGTTTGTTCTTCTAGTCTATGATTCTTTCAATATTCTTCTCCAACACCATAATTCAAATACATCAATTCTTCTACAGTCTTCTTTATTCATTGTCCAGCTTTCACATGCATATGAGGTAATTGAAAATATCATGGCTTTGGTCAGGAGCACTTTAGTCTTCAAAGTAACATCTTTGCTCTTTAACACTTTAAAAAGTTTTTTTGCAGCAGATTTGCCCAATGTGATAATGTCCTTTGATTTCTTGACTATTGCTTCCATGAGAATTGATTGTGAGTCCATAAAATGAAATCCCTGAAAATTTCAATCTTTTCTCTGTTTATCATGATGTTGTTTACTAGTCCAGTTGTGCTGACTTTTATTCCTTTCCATTGAATTGCAATCTATACACCAACGTTGTATTCTTTGATCTTCATCAGCAAGTGCCTCAAGTACTCTTTGCTTTCAGCAAGCAAGGTTGTGTCTTCTGCATATGCATATCTCAGGCTACTAATGAACCTTCATCCAATCCTGATGCCCTATTCTTTTTCATATAGTCCAGCTTCTCAGATTATGTGCTCTGCATGCAGATTGGATAAGTATGGTGAAAGGCTATAACCCTGGCTCATACCTTTCCTGATTTAACACCATTCAGTGTTTCCTTGTTTTGTTTGAACTACTAACTCTTGGTCTATGTACAAATTTAACAGGAGCACAATTATTAAGTGGTCTGGAATTCCCATTCTTCTAAATGTTATCTATAGTTTTCGATGGTCCATCTAGCCTTTGAACAGTCAATAAAGCACAAGTACCCATCCAGAACCTTCTGAGGTGGGCCATTCCCACTTGAAAAGACAAGCAGACCAGTCTGGAATAGCTAGAGGAACAGAAGATACTTCTTGAAAGAACAGCAGGAAAAACCCAAAACAAAAATGGCAGTCTGATTGGCTACTACAAGAACAAGCAAGTTGTTCGTTAGGGAGCCATCAAGGCAAGGAATCAATCCCTTCAGGACAAATCCTCCTCCAAGAATGAAACTGAAAGGGAACATATGAACAGGCATGTAAGCTTGCTGGCGACCACATTGGTCTACTGGTGAGTGGAAGAGGGGGAAAGGCAGCAATGTAGAAATGGGCTGAGTTCAACCACGTTCCATAGACTCCTGTTGACCTGGAGATGTGAGAGAAAAGAGGAAGGGTTGGCTGGTCTGAAGTGTGGTGAGACCTGGGGACTCCTGAATCCATGGACAAACACATAGCCACAGAGGGCTGGAACTGACAGCAAAGTGCCCAGCTGATATGAAGTGAGGGGAGAAACACAAAAATGTCCCAAAAAGGAAACAAGTGTAAATAGCTACAATTTGATGAACTTGACCTATGCTATGGATGTAGTAGCTCAAAATAACATTTGAGAGAGAAGGAGTCTTCACATCCAAGATCATTCCTATCCCCTCTGTATACAAGGTCGGTAGAGACTGACAACTTAGACATTGGCTACCTAAAATGAGGGGGCGATAAGGCACTAAGTGACTGGCTTACAAGTTTTCAAGAGAGAGTTTAGTTTAAGAGTGTGTGGGGGAAGGTAGAATCCCCACTGAATAGTTTTCATCTTGTCTAGATGGGTCTGGTGAAAGGAGATGAGAATGATTCTTATGACTCAATAGTAATTGTTATCATGACTAATTGCAACTGTCACAATTGTAAATGTAGAAGTTTTGTAACAAAAATGGGGGAGTAGTTAATCTTACAATCCAGGAACTGAGAACCCTAGGACCATCAAGGGAGAAGAGCACGAGCAGAATGTGAGACCCTTCCAGAGAAGCAGCAACACCAGAGATGGAGACAGAGATGAGTACATGGAGAGAGAGAGCAGCTGAGGATTCTAGATTCATGTGTGCTCACAGCCAGGTGTTGGTGGCCAGGAGGCAGGCTTACAGAATGTGTCCTTTGGTTGTTTAAATAATTATATGTTCCTGAGTGTTTTTGTGTACATCCCCCCATCCCCCCTACAAAAACAAAAAACAAAAAAAACAGAGGGAATAGAAGCAAATACGGTTGAATGATGATGCACAGAGGAGATTGTAATCATTGCAATGAAGTGATAAATGCAAAACTGATATTCCCCCATGTAAACTATCACTCAATTCACATTAGAATGCCGACCACTTCTTTTTGTACAGAGACTCTGTGTATTTTTTCCATCTTCGTTTGATGCTCCCTGCATAGCTCAGTCTTTTGTCCATAGAATCCTTCAATAGTACAAGATGAGGCTTGAGTTTTTTTCTTCAGGAAATCTAGCCTAATAACCAAATTCAGAACATTTACTGCTGACTTTGTGGTGAGCAGTACAGTGCGTATGCTACAGAGTCACAGGGTACCTTAAGGGCTCCCAAGTAATGTGTTAATATTATTAAATGGTGTTATTATTATTAAATGCCGTCAGTCCCAATTCATAGAGACCCTGCAAAGGGTTTCCAAGGAGCATCTAGTGAGTTTGAACTACTAACCTTGCAGTTAGCGGTCCAGTGCTTATCCTACAGCTCCATACTAATACTCTGAAATAGGGCATTAAAAAGGTCTATTATCTCTCAATCTTGCTAAAGTTGTTTTATATGCAAACATAGTATATTGTTGGTTTAATATATTTTTAATAAGTAAAGTTAAACATTTTTCATATCATTCTATATTTCTTCTTTAATGAATTGTCTTTACATATATATATTTTTAAAGACTAGTTTCCTACTCTGCCTTTTTCTTTACAGGAAGCCCTGGGGTTCTGAACAAGATCAGTTCCTATGCCTCTAAGTCCCATTCTTCTAAATGTTATCTATAGTTTTAATTCAGATTTGTAGTTATAATCAGATTAAATCTGTAGTTTAATTCAGATTTGTAGTTATATTGGAACAGGTGTATATGGCTCTTATATAGCCTGACTTCAGTTCAAGAAATGATGCCTGGTGGTGCTGTAGGATAAGAACTGGACTGCTAACTGTCAACAGTTCAAACTCACGAACAGCTCTGCAGGTAAAAGATGAGGCTTTCTGTTCCCGTAAAAATTTACAGCCTCAGAAGCCCCTGCACAGGGTCATTGTGAGTTGCAACTGGCTCAATAGCAGTGGGATTTTGTGATTTTAGCAAGAAGGAATCCTGGTAGCACTGTGGCTTAGGTGTCATCAGTTCAAACCCACCCTCTGTGCCACAGGAGAAAGCTGAGACTATCTGCTCATGTGAAGATACATAGTCTCAGAAACCCTCTATAGGGTTGCTGTGAGTCAGAATTAACTCGATGGCAGTAGGTTTGGTTTGGGGTTTAATGCCAGAAGAAGGCCTGGTGGCACAGTAGGTTAAGTGATGGACTGTCAACCAACAGGTTGGTGGTTCAGATCCAGCAGTCACTCTGTGGGAGAAAGATGAGGCAGTCTACTTCCACAAAGATGTGTAGTCTGGGAAACCCTATTGAGCAATTCAACTCTGTCCTATAGAAATGCTACGAGTTCGAATCTACTCAATAGCAGTGGGCTCTTTGGTTAGTGGAAAAAAAGGCTCAAAGCTTTTTCCAATAGTTGAAAGCTACGCATCATGTAACAGGAGTCCCGGTGTGGCTCTGTGGGATAATGCGCTGGACTGCAAGGTCGGCGGTTCAAATTCACCAGCCGCACCTCGAAAACCCTATGCAGGGTGGCTATGAGTGGGGATCGACTCGACGGCACTCAAAAACAACAGCAGCAGATAGTGCAACAAGTGAAGGCGATTGTGCTGCGGAAGGGGGTTTGCTCCATCTTTTCAAAGTGAAGGCAAATGTACATGACATTAAAGAGCAAACGGGAGATGTCTGGTAAATCAGATCTTCATAAACCAGGGGACTGCCTGAACGTTCAAAGTATCTCTGATAGCTAATGTGTGCACATTGGGATATCTGGCCATATTTATTCCGCAGTTTGTGGCTTGCTGGAGTTTGTGTTATGGTATTTGCTATGTGAAAGTCTGTGATACAGTTGATTTAAAAAAATCAGGTTCACCAAGTCTTTTTTCTTTGTGGTTTTTGCCTTTGAGTACAAACGATTTAAGGCACAAGAATGAACACTTACCACGATAGTCACCATGATGCAGATGTTTTTTGTATCCTTCCAGAAAACCGTTTGAGGAGTCACTTTTGCAAAATGTACAAGTCTCCCAAAGAATGCAGTCAGACAGAGGACTTCTACTATGGAGGTGGCCTGCACACAGAAAACAGAGTCTGGTCAAATATCCTGCCACTTGGAGGCTCAGTGTTAGGTCTCTGGTACCTCTCTCTGCTGCCACCCTGACTTTCCTGCCCTGCACCTTCTGAGAATTAGCCATCTCACTTAATTTTGCTGAACGTTTCTGCAGAATTCTTTGCTGGTTGGAGTGGTTTCATCCTCTTAAAAGGAAATCTCCCTCTGGGGCAAGTTTCCATGATCTCTATTGGCAAGGCTTCCTGGGAGGAGCGGAATAGGTCAACAGATAACCCAGAATGCATTTCCCCAGAAAAGGAGGAAAGCTGGGATAGCCGAGAAAGGCATCCTCCAAGCTCTTAAACTCCCTGTGTTCACATTCAGAATAAGACATCTGCACATTCAGCTTTTCTAATAGCCAGGTAGCTCCCCATCACAGCCACTGAAGCCCTGTTAGAGGAGAGAACGGAGCCCACTGAGAAACAGTGTAAAGTCCTGGCTGTCCTCCCCCCATAAGTGACAGCACACCAGCTCAAACTGCCTGCCAGGCGAGATGTGCAGTCCATGACTTGGCTGTGACTGTCATGATGCTTGTAGAGGCTGAATATGGCTACATTCTTGCTTTCTGCTAGCTCACTTCCACTTGTCTAAATTATTCTTATGTAACACCTGCTGGGGTGACCTTAGAGCCCTAGCGTGGAGCCACCTTTGTTCATTCACCAAGGCCATAAAAGCCCCTGCCTCCTACTGAGAGGCACAGAAACTCCAGTATGCTCTCCTGATGCCTGAGGCTGTCTGTTGTTAGGTACTGCTGAGTTGGTACTGACTCATAGTGACACTGTGCATGACAGAATGAAACACTGCCCGGTCCTGGGCCAACCTCACAATCATTGGTATGCCAGAGCCATTGCTACTGATGGACCATCTAGTAAACCCTTTAATGAACTTCTGGAACTGCCATCCTCATTCTTTAGTCTCTCAGCCCCCTCCATATTTGGAGGCAAATTTAGAGTGGCTGGTCCATATTGAGACATGGTTCATACCTTCACTCACAAGGGCACTTTCCTCATCAAATGAAAGGAGTGTGGGAACTTAGGAAAAGATGGGAGGATGGTGATTTAGTGAAAGGAGCTCTGGTAGCGTAGTGGTTACGAATCGGGCAGCTAACCTCAAGGTCAGCAGTTCGAAACTACCAGCTGTTCCATGGGAGAAAGATGAGGCTTTCTGCTCCCATAAAGATTTACAGCCTCGGAAACCCTATACAGGGTCGCTATGGGTCAGAACTGACTTGATAGTTTTTGTATTTTAAAAGGATTGGAAAAAAACAAAAGAAGTGTATTTGTGACATGTGAAAATTACATGAAATTTACATTTTTGTCTGCCAGTAAAGTTTTGTTGGAACACAGTCACGTTCATTCATGGAGATGGCCTCTGGCTGCTTTTGAGCTACAACCACAGAGCTGAGTAATCATGACAGAGACGCCATGATTCGCAAAGCCTAAAGTATTTACTAACTGACCTTTTCCAGAGAAAATTTGCCAGCCTCCAGCTGCTATAAAGTATCCTTTACAGTATCCTCTCAGTATCCTCCATGACTTCGTGGGTTGAATGGTCTCATCTGGACAGGTTTTCTGTTCATGTGGCAACAGCTGGGGTAGCAGATGTCTAGATGTTGATATTATGAACCGTCAAGTTGGTTCCGGCTCATGGGTGTCTAGAAGCTCTGTAGAGCTTTCTTCTGTGGCTGGCAGGTACTCTGGCTGTTGACTGGGAGTGAGGTGGCTAGAGCTATGCGGCAGTGTGCCTCTGCTCTCTTCCACACAGCCACCCCATGGCTTAGACTTCTCCTAGAAGGTGCCTGTGTCCAAGAAAGAGCTTCCCAGTGTGAAAGTTCTGACAAGCCTCTGCTTACATCATATTTGCTGATGTCCTATCAGCCAAAGTCGATCTCATGCCTAAGTCCCAGGCATTACACAAGGGTGTGAAGACCAGAAGTTGGTTCATTGGGGGCTGCCGAAGTGATTACCTTCTAGACTTCCAGGAAGACTCACAGTTAATGAATTCTCTGGGTAGAAGACGTCTAGCCCAGTGACTATCCCAGCAGACACATTCTGAAGAACAGAGCTGTGCATCCACCAACTTAAACACTTTTGTCAGGCTTGGTAGTAGAGGGTGCACCAGCCCAGCCCAGCCTAGATGAGGATACTTACAGGCAGTACAAAAACAGGCAGTGGCTGGATTTGGCCCAGGGGCTATGGTTTTGTCACCCCCATTTTAAGCATCTGAGTTTGGAGTGGTTTGTTAAACAGTGACAGAAACAAAAGCATGAAAAATAAAGAGGGTATGTTATAGCTAGAAAGTAAAAGCTTTGAAACTGGATAGAGTTGGGCTTGTCCTAACTCTGCCCCTGTTGCTGAGTGGACTTTTACATGTTAAACAACATTTCTAAGGCTCAGCTCCGTCATCTGTTAAAATCGGGCTGACCAGAGTAGTACTTATCTCACAGGGTCACCAGGAAGCTTCAGAAGAACACACCTGGCAGATAATATACCCATTAAGACAAAGAGACAAGAGCAGTGATTAGCCAAGACAAGAGCAGTGATGCCCTTAGCCTGGCAGATAATATACCCATTAAGACAAAGAGACAAGAGCAGTGATTAACCAAGAGTCACTGTTTAGTATTCAGAGCCATCTGAATTGCTGGTTTATTGGCTGCATTGCTCAAAACTGCTTTTGATCAGCTACTAAATACCAATAAATATTCTAATGACTTATGACTCTGTAAAAAAGCTGGAAACCTGGTGGCAGACACACACAAGTCACATATTAATTACATCATAACACTGTCTACTTGGCATAAAATAAACCTGCATTCAAACAGAGTTTCTACTTTTTCTATCAAATTTTTGCTTATGTGCACAGAACAAAAACTTCCACTCAATTAAAAATGACTTATGATTAAAGCATTGCCTTAGCAAGCATGCAGAATACATTTAGCAATCAAAATAAAATCATATTCATATTTGCTAAAATTTGAAGGGGGGAAAAAAACACAACAAAACCAAAAGCCGCTTGAGGCCCAACTTATCTGTGGTAAGTCTGGGTAGCCATTTTATTGTTAATGCTTACCAAGAAAGGTAGTGGAAACAATGCAGGTTCCTCAAACAGGGCAAGAGAAAGGTCTACAAAAATAAAGATGTTTGTGGCCATGCGCATTGTCCAGTGGTTATAAAAATAGTAAAGTCTGGAGAGGAAAACAATAAAGGACGTTATGAACAAGGAAGACGAGTTAAACAGCCCTAAAATATCTCATTACAAGACTAATGGTAAAATAAAGAGTTTATGGCTTTAGTCACATTTTCTTTAAATTCCTGAAAGCAGGGGGCATATGCTCCAAAACACTTTTCTAATGGGAAAAATATAATCAAATAAATAATATTCATATATCCCAAAGCACATTATCTGGACATTCCCAAGCTAGGATTGGTATCTTCCTCCTAGGACAGTTGTGACAGTAAAAATATATATATATATATATATTTTTTTTGGAAGGACTTAAAACAGTGACTTACATAAAGTAACTTTTAGCTAAAATGACCTATTGCTTATGGCATAACCTAATGCGACGTTCAAATGTAAGGCAACCCATCTTAAAACGTCTACAAAGAGGGATTTCGCAGTCATGTAGTGCTCTTCCTAGAGTGAAAGCAGCCCTCCAAACTTGCTTGTCATCGCCCATAGATGAGGCATTCGTTCCTCATTCACTGACATTCAGCCCTATAATAGTAGCCAGTTCCCATCAAGTCCAACCCGACTCATAGTGACCACATGTGTTTCAGAATAGAACTGTGCTCCATATGATTTTTTTTTCAATGGCTGTGGTTGTCTTTTTTTAAAGTAGATCATCGGACCTTTCCTTCAAGGCATCTCTTGGTGAATTTGAACCTCCAACTTGTGGGTTAGCAATTGTATGTACGCTATGTGATGTTTTTGTCCTTATTCTGAGCCAAATCCTTAATCTTTGTCAACTCTTAAGGAATGACAGAGAACAAGCTGACTTCCCACACAAAAACCAAATGTATGAATTACATCAAAAGGCAACAAAAAGGTGGGAAGTGTTTATAAGAGGTCCTGGTGGCACAGTGATTAAGTTGCTCAGTTGCTCATCAAAAGGTCAGTGGTTCAAACCAAGAGAAGGAGTTGACAGTCTACTTCCCTAAGAATTATCACCTTAGAAGCCCTATGGGAGCAGTTTTACTCTGTCCTACAGCATCTCCATGAGCCAGAATTAACTTGACAACAGTGGAATGAAGAGGAACCCCATTTCTAGGTGGAAAGATCATGGCTTATTTTTACATGGATGCCCTATCTCCTCTGCTGGCTATTGTTCATTTACCCATGTATCTGTTCACAATATATTTATTAACTGTTTCCCTATGTGTGAAACAACATACTTAAAAAAAAGTCAATGGATTATTCAGATCTACATGCCATATCTTATAGACTTCTCAAAATATTTACTAAACCAATGTCTTCAATTTTAGTTCAGCTTCAAGAATATTATATGCTTGTTGCTGTTGTTGATAAATGCCATCGAGTCAGTTCTGACTCATAGCAAACCTGATTTAAGGTTTTCAAGGAGTGGCTGGTGAGTTTGAACTACCAACCTTATAGTTAGCAGTTCAGTGCTGATCTTATAGTGCCACACCAGGACGCTATCATATGCTAGAGGACAGCATATATTCAAGACTATTATATGCTTGTGTCCTGATGTGGTGCTGTAGGATAAGTGTTAGACTGCTAACTACAAGGTTGGCTGCTCAAACTCAGCAGCCATTCCTCTGAAATCCTATATAGGGTCGTTATGAGTTGGAACCGACTCAATAGCACTTAACAACAGAGGACAGATGGCTTGATGTGACAGTTTCATGCTTTAATTACCTGATGGTCTGAGGTGATGTTTCAAATGGCACATTTCGGCTGTACTGGGCATCAGAAACATAGGCAGCTGCCAGGAGTAGGTCCTGGTCCCAATGGGAGAAAATAAAGGGAGAATAACAGTCAGAGGAGAAAATATTCTTCTTTTCCTTTATAAGTATGTTTCCAGTTATGCTTGATATATGTAACTCCCTTCACCCCTCCCATCACCTTGCCTCCAGAGGTAACCAATGTTAACAGGATGGTATACATACCTCCCAGGGACCCTGATGGTACAGTGGATTAAGCATTGGGCTGCTAGTTGAAAGATTGACAGTTCAAACCCACTAGTCACTCTAGTAAAGAAAAATGAGACAGTCTGCCATGAAGTAGACAGCCTTGGAAACCCTATGGAGCCATTCAACTTTGTCTTACAGGGTCGCTATGAGACAGAATCCACTCAACGACACCCAACAACAGCAATAACATATACACCAGCAGAAATTTCCCTAGGCCTTATGAATGTCACAGTGGGAATGGACCACGGGCACACTGAACTTTCATGAATTCAAATGCAGGCTCTCAGAAGAGGACAAGGAAACAAGAAAGCACCGAATAGAACATATATGTGTACTTAGTGATATGTAAGTCCTCGTGTGGCAATGTGGGTTAATGCACTGGACTGACTGCAAAGTTGGTTTGAACTGCAAGGTCAGTGGCTCAAGCTCACCAGCCGCTCCTTGGAAACCCTATACATGGTCACTATGGGTCAGAACCGACTCGAAAGCACTTAACATTAACAACAAAATGGTGCTATAGGATAAACACTGGCTTCTAACCTCAAGGTGGGCAGTTCAAACCCACCAGCCACTCCTTGGAAACCCTATGGAGTTCTGGTGTGGTGCTGCAGGATAATGCACTGGACCGCAAGGTCAGTTTGAAATGCAAGGTCGAGGTTCAACCCTATACAGGGTGGCTAAGAGTTGGAACTGATCAAAGGCACATAATAACAATAACAAATGATACCTATTTCTACGTACATATATAAGATTCTATACACTAAATTATATATTGGCTACTTGATGGTCAGTTTAAGGAATTTTCCAGGGTGATTTTGATAAGTAAATTATTGCCTTTCTTGTGGACTTTTCAACCTAACCCCTTTATAGTGTAGACTACGCATATAAGTACACTTAATTTTAAAAAAATAATAAATTTGTTTTCATGTGGTACATAGCTTACTCTTTCACATAGCATTTTCTGAATAATTGTTTCCAAGACAGTACGTATAGCCCTGCCTCGGTCTTTTGAACACATCCTTGTCATTTGGGTGGTTTTTATTTCTAATATAATTACATTGACTGTTTTTTAAATTCTATACGTGTGCATTATGTGCATATCTCTGTGCTATTAGTGTTGTTGGAGGTTAGAGTGTAATTTCTAGATGAAAGATAAGTGCTTTTTATATTCCTCTCCACCCAAAAGTTGCATGATTTATGTATGTAGTATCTCAAAATAGCAGATGGGCAGACACATTTTGCAGCCTCTCACCAACACTGGTAGTTTTAAATGGTTACTAATATACAGTCATACTGTGGCACTATAGGATAAGCACTGTACTGTAAACTGCAAAGTTGGTGGTTCAAACCCACGAGCAGCTCTTTAGAATCTCTCTACAGGGTTGCTATGAATTGGAACTTAACAACAACAACATACAATCAGCCAAAGAGGCGTTTTGTGATTTTAGTTTGCATTTCCCTGTGACTAGTACCACCTAGCACCTTTGTGTTCTGACTGACCATTCACACTTTGATTCTATTGTTGTGAAGTGTCGTGGAGTCGTCCAACTCTGTAAGGGTTTCCAAGGAGCGTCTGGGGGAGCTGCAACTGCCAACCTTGCGGTTCAAACCTAACTTGCAGTCTAGCACATTAATCCGCAGCACCGCACCAGGATTCCTCTGATTCTATAAGAGTAATATAATAATGTCCCTAAAAGGTGCCCTGATGGTGTAGTGGGTTAAGTGTGGGGCTGCTAACTACAAGGTTGGCAGTTCAAAGCCATCAGCCACTCCATGGGAGAAAGATGATGCTGTCTGCTCTGATCTAGATTTAGTCCCAGAAACCCTATGGATCAGTTCTTCTGATCCACAGCATCACTATCAGTCTGAATCAACTCGACATAGTGAGTTTAATGTTTTCTTACATATATATGGATCATAATTTTTAAAAACTAACCAAAAAGAAAAAAATCACCTTTAAGATATCTTCCTGGGATAGCAAAGACTCTGATGATACTGACATTTTTCTTCTTTTTTTAAAAGTTTTTAAAGCAAAACCTTTTAAGGCTATGGCTGGTCCCAGTTTTAAAAAAAAGATGCTACTAACACGCTTACAGTTTGTGAAGCAATATGTTCAGGGACACTCAAATTTGTGGTGTGTCACCCACAAGCCTCTCCCCAGAGTGGCAAAGCCCTAACCAGCAATGCCACAAACAGCCAGGTCCTGGGGACTGTCTCCATCAGACATCACTCAGACTCTGGGCATTTAGAGACAGAAGGACCACCACGTCACTCCCTCACAATTTCCCCTTCTCATTCAAACTAGTCCTTGTGAGTTTAAATATGCAGGAGCTTCCAATAGACCTTTAGGAGCTTTGGTGGCACACTGATTAAGCACTCAGCTACTAGCCAGAAGGTTGGCAGTTTCAACTAGGGCTTCAAACCAGTTCCACATGGTTCAGTAATTGTCTTAAATCAGGGTTGTGGGAGTGCAGTGCCTTGTAGGATAAGCACTGGACTGCGATAAATCTTTCTGCTACTGCAAAGATCTACAGCCTTAGAAACCCTAAATGGGGTTGCAATGAGTCGGCACTTAATAACAACAACATGAGTTGCATAGCAACCTAATCTGTAGCCCATAGTATTTTGACCCTAGCCCTGGTGGCACAGTGATTAAGCACTGTACTGATAACAGAAAGGTCAATGGTTTGAACCCACCAAGTCACTCATAGGGAGAAAGATGAGGCAGTCTACTGCCACAAAAATGGACAGCCTCAAAAACCCTGGAGAGCAGTTCTACTCTGTCCTATAAAAGTCATTATGAGTCCGAAAAGACTCAATGTCTGTGGACTTAGGAAACTAACAGCTGGGTCTGCTCAACCATGGCAGCCAACTGCCCTGCTTTGAATGTGCATTGCTCTTTCCAGAGTCCCGCCAATAATCCAAGCTTCCACATCAGATTCCTGAAACTGAAAGACTGTGGTAGGATTTTTGAAGAGCAACTTTATTGGCAGGATTTATAGGGATCATTATGAGCCGGAATCAACTCGACTACAGTGGGTTTGGTTTTTTGTTCAGTTTATCTTTATGTTAACGTTTCCAATGCTTTTCTGTTCTTTTTAAATTTTGTTTCTTTTTTGATTTGTGCATGCGTGTGTGTTTAACTTTTTTATTGTTAATTGGGTGAAGCTTTACAGAGCCTGTCAGTTTTCCATTCAACAGTTCACAAACATTTTGTTTCATCTCAGTGATTGTGTTCCCCACAATGGGACATCACTTATCCCACTTCCTCTCTGTGTGTTCTGTTTCCATTTTTCCTTCTTTTCTAAATCTCCTGAACTTTGTTCTTAGGCAAATGCTGCCCTTTTGATCTCAAAGGGTCGATTACTCCAAGGTGTGCATGCCTCCTTGTGTTATTGTTCCCCATATACACCTGTCTACTGTTGGGTTGAAAACTGAGCCACGGGGGTAAGTTAATTTCCAGAACTGAAGGCTAAGGGCCAAAGTCTAGGGGTTTCACCAGTAAGCATGGTCTTTCTATACTTTTGAGTTTTGTTAAACATTTTTCTCTCAAGCTATCCGGGACCTTCTAATTCTTTTCAGAATACTTGGTAGTGGTAGGCAGGCACCAACTAGTTCTGGTCTCAGGATCGTGGAGACTGATATTCATGGGCTCCACTAGTCCGTTGAACTAAACGGTTCCATACAGCTTCAATTTTCTCCACTCTTTTTACCTCCAGACAGTGTTGTTGTTGTTGTCAGGTGCCATCGAGTCGGAACCGACTCATAGCGACCCCATGCACAGCAGAACGAAACAATGTTCGATCCTGGGCCAACCTCACTACCGCTACCACACTTGAGTGCATCAATGATGCCACCTGGCTGATCCATCTCGTTGGGGGTCTTCCTCTTTTTCTCTGACCCTCCACCCTACCCAGCATGACATCCTTCTCCAGCAATTGTTTCCTTCTAAGAAATCTGTACCTAGACCAAGAAGCAGTTGTTCGAACAGAACATGGGAACACTGAATGTTTTAAAATTGGGAAAGGTGTGAGACAGGGTTGTATTCTTTCACCATACTTATTCAACCTGTATGCTGAGCAAATAATATGAGAAGCTGGGTTCCAGACAGTGAGAGACCAGTATTTCCACCTTAGAAGGCTGCTCATGAGCTTTTAAGACTCTAGTGGCTACTTACTGTTATGCCAATTGACCTTGGTGTCCCACAAGACCAGGATCTTGAGCTCCCAGTCCCAGTGATTTACTCCCTCAAGGAATTTGATTATTATGTCTAAAAAATTTTCATAACCTTGCCTTTTGTATAATCCACCACATTCATGAATATATTTGCAGCAAAAGTAATGTGCATGTACAAATACCCTCTGGCAAGCCTATATAGATCTGTGGGTGTCTTAATCCTCTAGGGCTGCTATAACAAAGAAGCCACAAGTGGACAGCTTTGACAAACAGAAATTTATTCTCTCATGGTTTAGAAGGCCAGATGTTCAAACTCAGAGCACCGGCTCTGGGGAAAGGTCCATGTCTCCTTTCAGCAGCTGTAGGCCTGGCATTCCTTGGAGATCTCCATGTGTCTTAGCATCAGTCTTTCACTGGTCTAGAAGCTTCAGAGTGCAGGGACCCCAGGTACAAAGGATACACTCTAATCCTGGCTCTTCTTTCCTGGTGGTAGCGAGTTCTTCTTTCTCTGTTCATGTCTCTATCCTTTCATCTCTTGAAAGATGAAAAATGTTACATGGGAATCTTTAGGAATCTTGCTTACATTGCAGTAGGGTTATAGTGGGTTTAAGGGTGGTCGTCTGTCATACTTT